GGACCGCTGTCTGAGTCAGACTGCTTTAACAGCATGCGTCTTGCGCGGGAGAGCGTTTGCACACGGCACGACACGACGCGGAGTTTAATCTCTATTAATAAATACCCGCTTTGCCTCGGCCAGAATAGAGAGCAGCTCTCCACTACTGGCTTATTGAATGCATACGCAGTGTTTCATATTGGAGATCGTAACAAACGCGAATCGATCTTTGGTAGATTTTTATCGATGGATTTACGAGAAGAGGTTATATCATAATGATACAAAAATAATACATGATCGAATTAATTTGTCATGATTTAATTCAATATAATACTATGAATTTTAATTATATCAAAAATATTATTAAAAAAATATTTTTTTATTTGCAAATTGAAAAAGAATTGAATATACTATTTAATCATCTAATTTGTAAATTTGAATTATCATATGGAAATATTTACTATGAAAAATCAATTCTTGGTTTAAATATTAAAAATATCTAAAACTTTTTTATTTGCAGAGTAAAATACAAAAATCAATAGAAAATTGATCAAGTTTAGATAAATTAGAGAAATAAATAGAAAATCATGATGAGATCAAATCACATTTATGTCAATTGCATTAGTATTTATATCTTTTTACTTAGGAAACATTTAAATAATTCTAGTCAAAGGATTATTAGAAACTACAATATAATCACTTTTAAATATTTATAAAAATACAATAAGATATTTTAATTTAAATTTTTTTTTTAATTTTCTATATTAACAAAGAATTAAAATATTAAAAAAGTATTCACATTACTATTTTTTTATATGAATGAATATATAATGAATATTTATAATTAACATTTAATAATATGAAAAAATGAAACTTATTAAGCTATTACCAAAGATATGAAAAGAAATAATTAAATACAATATAATCAATTTTCATTTTTAAAAATTGATTTACATACATATATTTGAAGTAAAAAAAGAAGTATAAATTACGAAAATATAAATGCATAATTAAACTTACCAACACGTTCTCCGTTGCTACAAACAATACCTGTCGCCAAGGTCTGAAAAATATTATTACAATCATATTATTAATCCTATTAGAGTTTTACTAATATTTGTAATACTAAAAAAAATGAAAAAAAACGCGACTATATTTTTTTTTACTGTATCATGTTACTATAGTGAAAACTTCTCCATATTGAAATATAATGATATTTAGGGTTCACCGAGTATTTATGAAATTCAATATTACTCTCGATATTTAACACATAGTGACGCATTAATCTCAGAAATAATTACATAGTAATTCTTTTATTTTTAATAAATTTTTAAAATATTAACTCTGCAATAATATATTGGAATTTTTCATTATTTCAATAGAATATTCATTTTTATTATAAATTATTGCAAATACAATTTTCTTTTGAATATCTACATAATTACATAATCTAATGAATTTTTCTAGAAATTTTTTTTTGTATAATTTAAATGTATGAAATATCTGAAAAAATATATTTATTTCTTTTTTTTTATAATAGTTTAATTTAAACTGAAAGTTTGTAATAAGAATTTTTTAAGTTATTTTATAAAAAAATTAAAATTAAAATAGTAAATTATAAAATATTATGCTATTTTTAAAACTTTACAAATACAATAAAATATGTTAAAAAATTATATACATTCTTTTTTTTAATTTAAAATAATAAATATTCTTAAAAGAATATTTCTCGTTTTTGTGTTTTATAGTAAGTATTATAATGATTATTATTTAATTCATAATTAATTACTTAATAACGATTATTAACTTAATTGTTAATAAATTATAAAAATATATGATAAATATATGAAAAATATAATCAATTTATTTTGATAAGATAAGAGTTACATAATTAAAAATATATGGAATTATTTTTCATATTATAATAATTATTCAATTAAAAGTTATTTTAAAAAATTTAATCATATTATTTTTATATTGTGCAGAATGATTAAATAATAACAAAAAGATTATTTTAATATTAGAATATTATTTATTATATGATTATGGCATTTATAAGCATTAAGCATTTATGATACATTGAAGATTTATGAGAAGAGATAAATTAATAATAAAATTTAGTTAATTTATTTTATATGTGGATAAATGATACATTTGTATAAATCTTAACAAATGAATAAAGATATTAAATTGTAATTAGTCAGAAATCAAGTGATGTTAAAAAAACTTAAGAATCATTGCCAAAGTTTTTTTCAATACAAAAACTGAATGTTCCTGTAGAATAAAATCACTGGATCCTAATAAGTGTTCATGTCTAAATGAGAAAAGGATGAATCATTATTGGTATAATTATATTGAGTTATTTGAATTTTGTAAATTGCTCATTATTTTTTTTTAATTTCGTAATTAAAAGATATACAAAAAATTGGTAAAAATGAAAGCGATTTATTTATTTGTTATATAGATTTACAATTTAATTTTTTAGAAAAAAATATTATTTAATGAATAATTAAAATATCAAGACATAAGAAAATTTAATGAAACTTTTTGTCAATAATTCCTTACAATATTTTTGGGATAAAATGTATTGATCGGTATATTTGCACAAAACGCAGTACAAAACGGAAAGCTTCTCGATTAGACGTAACCTTCGCATCGATTTTATGTGTAACAGAGGTCAATGACGTATTAGGTTCAACTATATCTTGGAAATATGCTAAAGAAAAAGACAAATAAAAAAGAATCTTTGATCGTATTTTCTTTATAAGACAACAACATTGCATTCTTATTTCTAATTATGTTAATATACACGGGGAATAGAGAAACATACGCCCACATTCTTTGGTGCTAGAAAACGAGTTGATATTAGAGGCGGTCGCAGTACTCACATTCATAGTGAAGGGACAGCTGACAGTCGATCCACGTAACACTTAACACTGCCACGAATTATGACATCGTGTAGAATTCCAAGAGAATATCACTGTATGATTACGAAGTGGCCGTATACGCATGTCACTTCTTAAAAATCACGAAGATGTAGTACTTTCCGGAATGCATATTCTGAGTCACTCTGTCGATGAGAGCCCCTCCCTGACTGCAACAACCCCTGTCTGATCTCAAATGCGCATGCTCCTAAATTTATGGTGTTTTACAAAGAAAGGGGGTGATTCTGTTTTGTAGTCAGGTTCTTTTCGCGTGTATGCATTTTTAACTACTACTTCAAGCATTGTTTTTTGACTTCATGCAAAGGGCACAATAATAATAAATGATCAATGATACGATCATCCCTTAAGTTTTGAGGTTATTGTGCGCATGTCTTGAATATCTTCTCCAGATGTCAATGATCGAACAACTGATCAACAAATTTTTGTTTTGGTTTATTAAATATTCTTCTTAATACTTTTATAAACAGACTAATTTATGTATAATTATCAGGGAGATTAATTATTCATGTATAACTCATAGCGAATGTTAATTTGAAATTGATATTCTTTTCTGACTGAGAATATGTACATGATCATATCATGATTCCGAACTGACTTCGCTTTATATTGATTTTCTGCGCTTTAATATCCTTATCTGCAAAGGTTATTAATTTTTTGAATGACCTATGCTTTATTGAGTTTAATTATATAATACACATATAATTGAGAATGGTAATAATGAACGAGCTATTAAAAAAATTTATATGATGGGTTAAGTATTATATATAAAAAAAGATTTATTTAAAAATAAATAAATATGTTCGAATATTTTATGTGAATATTAAAAAATTTCTTTAATATTCAATAATTTTTATATTATTTTTGTATGCAAAATTTAATATATATTAATATTTTATTCATAAATCATTAAATTTTGAAAAAATCTGTAAAAAAAATAAAAATATATAATCATTAAAATATAAAAAAAACGAAATATTTTACTATACTTCCAACTTAAAGAAAGAAAAAATTATTATTTCTATAAACTGTATGAATCTTTGATTTTTAAATTTATAAATAAAAAATTTTTATTATTTTATTTATTTATTTAATATCTTCGAAATTTTTTTTATCAGAGAAACAGTAGCGATTATTATTATAAAAAATCATTTATATATATATATATATATATATTGAAAATATAAATTTGAAAAAAATTTGTTATTATAATTGTATTCAAAATTTACATTTATATTTTTATATTTATATATTTATTTTAACATTATACATATAATAAAATTTTATCTTTTAAGAAAATAAGAAAAATTTATTTATACGTTTTTTAAATTGATTAATCCAAAAAGTATATAATAATATAACATATTATATATAAATATATAATATAATTTATAGATTCTTTGGCTATAGATTTATATAGTCTACTTACTTAAGCAAATATCTTGGTCTCAAGTTGACTGTATATGTTCTTTCATCCATAGATATGTGTTAGTTAACAGAACGGATAGAGTGGTTCTCAATGTTGCGGAAAACAGATAATGACTATGAACAGTGATTTAAAAATTAACACATTTTAATTTTGTACCAGAACAATACTTTATTATCTTATCTTTTGCGGTACAAAATAAATACTTTTATAAAAAATATAAATCCTCAATACAGTACATATGCAATGTATAAATTAAATACAGATATGTATCATATATAGTGTACATATTATATTAAAAAAATATTTTACATATTCTATTGATTTTGTGACAAAGTTTCATAACTTTTACTAAAAAATACATTTGTAAATCCATTCTTATATATATAATTATATACAAATCTTAATCGCTATAATGGTATACATACTACAACTAATAAAAATACTATACTAGAATAGATATTCTATATTTTATTGAAAAATATCGGAAAACACTTTTTCTTATTTTTCGTATTGTGCGTCTTTTAAAATTTAGTTTTTATATATAATTTTATAAATTTGGCATTGCAGCAAAGGAATTATTATATTTGATATGTATGTTACGATATTCTTTTCTTATTTTTAAAATTAAAATTTGCTCTCTTTCAAAGAAAAATAAATTTAATATATATATTTACATGATGAAAATAAAATTATTTTAAATTAGAGAATATAATTGAATATAATAAAATTTACGCATTAATACTTGTTGTTTTTCAAGTTTTAATTTCTTTCTTAATACATTCTCTCTTATTTAGATTGCTCAGCATCAAGAACTAATATTCACATTTATATTTTTGAGTGTAGCCTCTATTTTTTTTTTTTTTTTGCAATGAGCAATAAGGAATGTACTATGTTTGGCGAAGTAATAAATGTATTCTTATATGAAATATTTTATAGCAAAACTTTATCTAGATATTACAAACTAAATGCGAGAATAAATATATAATGTATACAATTTTTTTAAAATGGAGAAATATCGTTAAACATATCGTCTATTTTTTGGTGTTTTACGACATCTTTGTCTTCCGAAAATTGCAATTATACAAATTACTATTGTTGCTACTAACACTGCACCCACAGCCCACACTGCTTTATTAATCTTTGGTTTTTTATCTTCTTCTTTGTTTGGATAATCAAGAAATGACTCATTAAAAGGAACTTCAGTTGTGATTATTGATTGGAATACACTATGGTTTTCTGGTTTTTGCTGTGGTGAATATAAAGATGATTTAAATTGTAAATTTTTGTTGGAATTAATCATAGTATTTATATCATTTTTTTTGTCATTTTGTTTGCTCCAAGATTTTGTGTTTATCATTTTCGGTTTCGTAATCACATTTTTAGATGTAATGTTGATGGCAATAGATGTTGGTGGAGCATTTATTTCCGCAATTACTTTCTTCATTAGTTCTTCTAATTCTGATTCTTTGGCAGTAATTGCTGTGTATTGAAAATCTCCATCCATATCATCAATGAAATCTTCTAGTGGCGAAAAGAATGAAAGTAATGATTCTGGTGAAATTTCGTCTATTTCTAAATATTGGTTGATTACTTTCATCCAGTCATCGGCACTTCCTCGCTGAATCATTTTTCTATTAAAGAAATAATTTTTAATTTTATTATTAAAAAATTACTATAAAATTTTCATTCATAAATAGTACTTACAAAAAGTTAAAATTCTGTTTTCTTACGATTGAATCATATCTAACTTCCGTCGATTCCATTAAATATTCGTATAACTGAAACGCTAATATTGTACCAACTAGTTTTCTGTAGAAATACGTATAAATATAAATACGAAAATAAATATTTCTAGAAACGTATAGTAACAAATATTATATTTATCAATTTACTTATTAACTACTAACTATTTCTTATTTTGATATCTTTATTAATACTTACGGTAAATATGGTTTATTATTAGTAATATATTCGTCATTTAAAAATGTAGGCATTTTATTTTCAGAGTTGATTCCTTCATATTCTTCTCTAAAATAAAAGTTTTAGTATTTTATGTCAAAAATATATTTAAAATTTCTAAAATATATTTAATATAAAATATTTTTAAAGTTGTAATATCTTAATAATTAATACCTATATTCCCACCAAGATGATATTAAATCTTTGGGATTTGTTATATTTTTTTCAATAGCATTAATTCTCCACATGTCTACAGACATATAATAAACAATTTGTGGTAATATGTTAAGTGCGGTAATCATAAGAGATATAATTAAATGTTGTTCATTATCGGTAGAGTTATCTATAAGATGAGTGTAATTTAACCAAGCAGGACTTGCAGCTAAAATACCAAATAGTTCTGAAACACTTTCTTCTAAAGCTATAAATAAAATTCCAATATTATTTTTAATATTATAAGTTAAATATAATATAAGTATATATATATATATATATATATATATATATATATATATNATATATTTTTAATATTTTTTTTTACCTGAATATCGATTAGCTGTATTAAGTACTGGAGTGTCCTCAACAGATAATTGATTGAATACAATTTTTCCAATGTTTTTATGTGCAGAAAGAAAGTTGCTTATAGTTGGTTCAAAACATGTAGATACTCTATAAAATGTAAATGTGTACAGATTTAAATTGAATTATATGATTATAAATAATAAATAAAAATAAAAATATAAAATACTTGTTAAATATTACCGTAAAACAGCATCTTGACAAAAATTAATTAATTTTGATGGACACTGTTTATTAAAATAACTTTTATCCCAAAACTTCGCTTGTGGCATTTGGCTCAATATTTGTGCACTCATGATGGAAGCACTTTTGTATAGTGATTTTCCAAGAAGTTTCTAAAATAGAATTTAGTTAATATGATATTATTGATATTTAGTTATATAATTTATTAATATTTAATTATAAATTCATGAAGATAATTATATATAATAAATGATATCATTCTATATATAAAAAATAAATAATAAATGAAATCATTCACCTTTTTCCAAAGATTTTTTTTAATATTGTACATAAGATCTGGATATGGTGTTATATCAACTGATATAGGAATCCAATCATTTCCTTGTAAAGTTCCTTTTTTAAAAATTTTTATAATAAATGCAATTTATTTAATATATTTATTATTCAAGTGAATATAATTTAACAATATTATGTCTTACCAAGTAAGAATGATGGTAATGTATCATTGATTGTAATCTTGTTCTTTTGAGACAAATTAGCTATTGCGAATTTTAATATTTTTTTATGAAGATCAGCAATTCTATTCCATTTGTATTTAATTTCATCATAACCATTACTATATCCAGCTAAGAGTTCCCAATATTCTGTAACATCTTTGGCACCTGAAATCATAATTTTAAAAAATTTTCAAATTTAATTAAATTATATAATTAAATTATGTAAATATAGAAAATATAATATAATATATTTTTTAAAACTATAACCATTTGCTTTGGCAGCTTTATTAGCAAGTGGTAAGATAACTGAGAAATTTTCAACTAATGGGATTAATTCTTGATGCCATGTTGTCCAAATAGTCTTTTTTGTTGTAATATTATTACTATGAGACAATATATATTCCACATCTGAAATTCACAATATTTTTATTTAATTGTTATTTAATTTTTAATTATTTTATATTAGATTAAAATGCTTTACCTTTTCTTGTATGATTATTTAAAACTCCATTATGAATAGTAGATAATTTTAATAATTCTACTGTCCCAGAAAAGTGAACAAGCTATAAGCAGGATTCTTTTAAATTTATTCAAATAAATAGATTTTTTAATTAAAAAAAAAAACAATTTATCTTACTATTTTAAAATCTTCACTATCTAATAAAGCATCACCTATTTTTTCAGTAACATTATACTTATATTGTAAAGATTTATCTCTAATATCAGCTTTTGAAATATTAGCTATTTGATCTTTCTGAAAATTCTTGAAAATAGCATAAGAAATTAAATTCTCTTCCTACAAAAAAATAAACATATTCATAAATTTTTACATTTTTCTAAGTTATTTATCATATTTATAATACGAAAATTTACCCATGATAATAATGTTTCATTTGAGGGTGTATTAATGAATGCCCATTCCGCCTCAGATGTAGTTAAACAAGTATCCTCGTATTCTAATTCAGTTATTTTTATGAAAGCTCTAATATTTTCATCTTTCATCACCGCGATCACAGAAACTATTAGATTAAGGATTATGCAAATCCATTTTGATGGCATCCCTTTGCACTAAAAAAATATTATTTTTTATATAAATAAATTAAATATTCATTAAATAAAAGATACATGAAAATATTAGAATATAAAATTGTTAAAATTTATTTAATACTTCGATGAGAACGTATAGAATGTTCGTATATATCACTCATATGATTTTTAAAGTATTAATATATATCAATTAAATAGTTTATTATTCTATTATAAAAACATATTGAAATATACTAAAAAATGATTGCTTTTAAAAAGTTTGTTCATATATATAAGTATATAAGTATTATGTATTTATTAATTCTAACATATTAAAACATTTACATTTAAATATAATCCAAGGAGACATGTATACATATATAATATATATCGTAAACTCGTTCATGAATCATAAATTAAAGTTATCATTCAATAAAATTTTAAATTAAAAATATATGTAAATAAAACAAAACAAAAACATTTGTAAAATATTACACGTATGCAATTGTTGCATCATTTTCCCGAATTACATTTATTTTTATTTCATTTCACTGATTAATATTTATATATTAGTATATTATTGTAAATATACTTGATAGATTTAAAAACAGTTAGTCATTCCTAAAATGAATCACTCATTCAATAAAGTATGTCATTCTTTTCTAAAACTTCATGCATTTACATTACATATTTATACATATTATAGATATTTGATTCTCGTATGCATTTATTAATTGTCGGTAAGATTTCGGAAAAGTTATAAATCAATATAATTTAACGATCATGAATCGGCCAATTACTGATTGTCTATAGTCACATCACATTCGCATATTTAATTGCTTTCAATTCAATGCTTTGTCTGAATAAATGATCATGATCATAAAGATAGTTATGATGATTTATTGATACATTAACCCAAACGATCATCGATCATTCTTTTATATTTTGACAACATTATTTTTTCATTATTAATAGAAAAATCAAATGAATGTAATCTATCTAAGCTACTTTCAATTAATTAAAAAAATGAAAATGAATCTATTTACAATTACTTATATTTAATCATTGCTACTAATTATATTGGTTTATTTTTTTTTTATTTTTCTTCCATTATTTTTATTTTTTAATGTTATCAATATAATAATATTTATATGAAAATTATTCATTATTATCTTATTTATTCTGAATTAATATTCAATATTTATTTGTTATTTTCTAGCATAAGATTATAGTAAAAATTTAAAATTAAGAGGATAAATTAATTCATTAAATTTACTTGTATAAAAATATATATATTTTTTTAATGTACTGCATGTTTAAGTATGCTTAAATCGTGTAAAAAATATTGACCAAAAGACAATGAAAAGAATCTATTGATAAATAATACATTTCGTTCCCGTGTAAAGGTCATCATATGTTATAAATAATGTTCATCTATTTATTATTTTTTAAATTACAATTATAATTTTATATCGAAATTTAACTTTAAAAGTTATTTTTAACTTTTAATTTTAATTTTATTTTATATGCACTAATGTCATAAATTAATAAATTTATTATCATTATTAATAAGTAATGCATTATTTTTAATGTGTTATTTAAATTAATGTATTGTTATAACTTGTGATTAAATTGCAATTCTAAATAAATTTTTAAGTTACTGTATATACTCAAAAATAACTTTAAATTTTGCACAACAATAAATTTAAGCATTGTTGATCGCATATTTATCGTGAATTTAGGGTGCGAATTTATATAGTGTTAATATATACGATTGTATATACGATATATACGATATTATATTATGATTTTGATATGAATTTCAGTATTAATATCTAAATATAATGTTCATTTATTTCGATAAATATGTATATAGATATCATAATGACCGCGAAAATTCGAATTATGAAATTGTTTTTAAAATTGCCCAACAATTATATGTATTAGAGATTACAGTCATTAAAGATTGCTTTGAAGAGATAATATTTCTATTTCTCTGATATCGTTATTGCTGATTTAATTGCAATAATTTTCTTTCCAATTTTTTAAAAATCAAATATGTTCAATATAAATTTTTTTTATAAATTTATTTATAAAATTTTATTTAAATAAACTGATAAAAACAATTTGAAAATCAGATTACGAATTCAAATTTAAGATTTTTTTTAAAATTATTCACATTGTTCTTAAATTAAGTGTCCAAAGTAAATGGCCAGTTTATTCAAAGTACGAAGAATCAATTTACACTTGGATTAATGGAAAAAAACATTTAATTTAACTTTTGATTTTCCTTACCTTTCTTAGCCGAGCGTCGTTTCGCTCGACATACACGTTTTCGATTTTGTTTTTGTGATAAGATCTGATATGTGCAACGAACAAAAATCAACTGCACTTTAGAATGAATCCGGCAAGTAGGGAGAATGAGTGAAGATACACACACAGAGAAATGGTTTATGTCCTCGTTTAGAACACTTCTATTTTAGAAGAAACCAAAACTTCAATTATAGGGGTTAAAGTTTATTATAAAAAAATATACGACGAATTAAATCGAATGTAATCATGTATGCATAATAAATCGACTTTTATCTCACTATAAATGATACATAAAATATTGTTCATACACTATATGATTATTTGTACAAAGTTCGCACGATCTAAATTCTTTCACATCATTCCACTTGCCTCTATTTGCGTACTATAACGTGTGACGTGACATACAGTCATCGAAAATATATGTTAAAGATCGTACATCTTCTAACGATTTTGTGATCTTTGCTAAGTAGAAATAGCATGAGCAGATAAAAAAGTAATGTAGAAATCTATATTTCATAATTTTATTCACTTTTCTATTCTAACATAATAATATTTTAAATATATATATTTATATATGTATCATAAATGAGATATAAAATAGAAGAATCATTTCATCACGATTACATAAGAAAAATCATTTAATAAACATTTTCTTTAATTGAATTTCGAAAAATTTAAAATATCTTTATCATTTTAATATCATTTTTGATATTATCGATGGAAGATAGAATAAAATTACAATATTGATAATGGCTGAAAATTAAATAACTGTAAAATTATAAATAAAATATATGATACAATATCTCATAATCCAATAAATTATACAATTATGTAACAAAGTTAATAAGAAATCAACATCATTTTTTGAGCGCATGAATTTTAGTATTAAGATGACATTCTAAAGAATTTTCTATTTCTTTTCTAAAGAATTAGAAATAAGGAAAATAAATCAAAAAAAAAGAACAAAAATAAGTTAAAAATAGTGAAATTAGCGCCATCTCTGAAGTGCCTTAAATGAAACAAATATAGACAAGAAGATAAATAAATAATAGAAAAAGGACAGATATAAAATAAGAATTAATTATCAATGCCATCTTTAAAGTGCCAAAGAAATTTCTTTAAAAGAAGATAAAGTTGGATAAGAATTGACCATCAGCGCCATCTTCTGAAATTTTTTAGAAATATATATTTACATTCAAGAGATGTCGCTAATTTTTAATTCCTATCGTATCTTACCTTTCTTTAGAGAGATATTTTTAACGAGATATCAACAGATAGTGCTAATCAAAATTTTATTCTACACAACAATTTCTTATTCTATCCTTCTCTCATTAATAAGAAATTCTATGAAACTTTATAACTATATCCATTTAGAAATATCTCAAAAAAGTTTCTTATTTCTTATTTAATATAATATAATCTAATATGTAAAATATATGTACAAAATTAAATCACTTAAAAATATATTTATATATATTCTATAAATTTAGAAACTGAAACGAGAATATCATCTTAATAATAAAATTTCTACTTATAAAAAATATAATCATGCTTGCATCTGATTAATTTATATTATTTCTTATAAAATATATAATTATACTATTAGTTTATTAGACAATGATATAATATTGTTATATATTAAATAATAATGATTTCTATCACTTGGAGGTTGCTGAATTAGAGATTTATTTTGATCACAATGTTCCATCTATATATGTTCATAATATATATTTGCAAAACATTCAATTTTTTTATCATTGTTGCATAAACAGCAAAAAAAGCTTTGTAATAAGATGAATTAACACTCATTGTCACTATGCGAGCATTAGATCAACCCTGTTGATCGCCTTTAAAATGAATCTTTAGAATTCTTATTATCCTTATTAATAATAATTGAAAGAACTTGAATTAATACTGTTTGTTTTTTTATAAATTTTATTTATTTACTAAATACAAAACTATTTTCATTTATATCACATAATAAACTATAGTACACATACGGGAATGATGAAGATCTTATCATAAATATTATTTAAAAACATATATTAGATCGTTCATGTAACGATTTTTCTCGTAAAATGCATAATCTACAGAAAAACAGAAAAAAAAAAAAAAAAAAGAAAAAATAAAACGATACGTATATAATAATATGGTATTTTATTATTTTCTTTTTCTTCTGTTAATATGAAACTTACATCAATTTAAGAATGTCGAACACAAGATGAAATTCACGTCTCGGTCATTCAGAAATGATATATATATTATACCTTATAAGCATATAATTTCTTATTTTTGAATTTCTCTCATCACGTATTCTCATTTTCTTCATCGCATTAACATCAATAGTTTGGAAATAATATACGCAAGTAGCATTTGTAATACTGATACGCTTGAACAGATATAAACCTGTTCCACATTGTCTATTGTTACCATTTATTTATTAAGTACCGGAGACTGTTTGTACTAGGACTTGAAATAAAGGATTGCTATTTTCGAGTAAAATTAATTTAAAATTAATTTAAAATATTACGTAACCAACCTATTTGTTTTATTATTCAAATCGAATGAATAAAGTTATCCTTTATTTAAAGTATATTTTCCAAGCTGAGTAAGTGGGTGACGTTATTTATTATTAAGATTTTAATTTATCTTTTTCCTTCTTTGGTCTTTTCCAGACAGATACGTCTTTAAAATGTCTGTGTAATGTGTTGTCCTAAAAATTTTTGTAAAAAATCTTTTTAAAAAAAACAAATTTCCAATCCTAAAATCGTTAATTATAATTTACAAAAATAATTATTTACAAACCTTTAACCTTTAATCTTTCGAGATTCATAATGCTTTCATAACATTTTATATCAGACATTTTTAAGACGTTTAAATTAGATTATTTTTAAGATATTTCAAATATAAAATGATTGTAAAATGGACATCTTTAAGACATTCGTGTACCATGTAAACACGTATACAGTGCACGATTATATTTCTAATTATTTTTTTTTTTTTCTTCTCATACTTATATTTTGTACGTTAAATGAAAAATTTATTAAGAAGCTGTTTTCTCTCGATATAATTTACTTTTTACAAGATGTGACTCTTCCATTTCTTTGCTCATTCTTTCAAGTTTTTCTATATAATTATGATCGAATATTATTACATATTTTGTAATAATAAATTATTCGTTATAAATGATCTGATTCGAAAGCTGCATTCGCAATACCGTTCATCGTAGGAACTTCCGGTTTTTTCTCGCTAACAACTTGCCATTTTGCAATCTTTGAATCATTCTCCTCTTCCTTGCTCTTCGCTTTTTTCTCTTCCTCCAGTAATTGACGATCTTTTCTATGCTCGGTGTACAGCCAACTATTCATAAAAAAAAATATAAATAATTAGTAAACAACATTGAATTAATAAAAAAGAAAATTATTGAAAAATTATTTATTTATTTATTCTTTATTAACTTCGTTGGTTGATAGATAATAAAAGATAATTAAATTTGAATATATGTTTAATTTAATTTATAAATTTTAATATTTTATAGATATTTTTTTATTATTATATTTTTTATTATATTCTGTATTTATTTTTTTAGATTAGTATATACTTACATATATTGAACATTCTTATTTCATAAAATATAGAATAAAAATTAAAGTGTAAATACTCTAAAACTATCAAGTAATTTAACCCAAACTTTTGTAAATCACTTGCCACCCAATAAAAAAAGATCAAACATAAAATAGTAACCATAAAAAGTATTTACATGTCATTTTATTTACCATAGAATTTACATACTAATTAATTGATATTGGTTCAAACATTTTGCAAATATTATATTTTTTATTATTTAGTAGTAATTTTATATGCCAAAAATTTTAATATTATGAAAATAATACTAAAATAATACTGAAATTGACAAAAAGAAGTATTAATCGAAAATAAGAATACGTGCAAATACTTTTTGTAAGTTTTATATCTTTCTCGTTCAATAATTTTTTTTTATGCTTTATAAAGTTACTTTAATATTAATTTATTCCAATGAATAAAAGAAAAAAAGCTCATCAAGCAATATTCGATAGAAATATTGAAACGATGGCTATGAGACTATTGCCTCGAGTGGCGCATCGCAACCGGAAAGACTTACAAGAACGCGGCGACTGCTGGCATGGTCATACAGGCGCCAACAATAAAGAACGTTCCTGGAAATGTTTTCATGGTTGCAGCATAAATGGAACTGTACATTGGCCCGTAGATGAGTGGCATCAGAGATTCGCAGACGCCAAGCAACGAATTCACTTTTCCTGTGTAAATCAATGAAAAATAATAAAATCTCGTTGTTCTTAATTTATATGTTATATTATTTTCCGTCATATTGAATATCATATCCCTCGTTATGTAAAATCAAATAACGTATCAACAGTATCAAGTGAAGTATCAAGAGAAATAAAATAAAAAAATGAAAAAAATGATTGTAAAAATATTTTTAAATAAACAAGCAATAGGAAAATATTGTGAAGCGAAAGAGAACTTTGTGGAAAATTAGATGGGAAATAATTATTGTCAATTTGACACGAATAATACAAGATAATGCAAATAATGAAAGATTATCTTATCTGCAAAAAAATATCTTCTGAAAAAATATACAAAAATAAACGATTAGAGCAAAGATTGTATATCACACTTGACTAATTTAGTTTTTAATTTTTGTTCTTCATGTAATTACTCGATCGTAATTATATGCAAGATACATTTATCGTAGAGTTAAAAATGTAGAATGATAACATTTTATAAGAAGTTTCGTTTTATAAAATTCTATCAAGTACATATGCACTCGCGCATGTTGCATAGAATACTTTAAAACAGTGGTTCTCAATCTATAGTTCACAAAACATTTATTTCTTTAGAGAATCGTTGTTTAATTATATATTCTATAGAAATATTAAGATAATCCTTTCGTTATTTAATTCAAACTTTAGTATCATTATTTATTTCATGGTGATAAAATCGTATTAATTTAATTACTTTATTTTTTATTTAAAAAAGAAAAAAATTACAATTAAAATAGTTAAAAGAACTATTAAATATTATAATTCATAAAAAATTGAAAAATGAACGTCGAACCGAATTGTATCACTTTTGACACATATTTCTGATGATATTTAGAAATTAGACACGAGTCAAAAGTAATCCAATTTGATCAATCAACGATTCGAGAATTAAGGAATACGATTTTTATTAAAAACGAAATTATGAATGATTTACTATGTAATATCATTTATAATTTCGTTTTTTCATTCAAATCAGTGGAATTTATTTACATTTCATTACATAATTTTATTATAATTCTAAATTTATATAATTCATTTTGTAATTTATATCAAACATATCGAATTTATAATGTTTTCAATAGCATTATTCCGTTATGTGTATAATTTAATGTTAAATATACATGCAATTACGTTATGTAAATCGAGCTTAAATATTTTATTAATTATGTTTGTGTATACTGTGTGTATCCTTATATTGCAATCAGGTTCACGTAACGGTATTTGTTATATGTTCTTTAAATAAAAAAAAAAAAAAAAAAAAAAGAAAAAAAAAATTGGATAAATTTACATTCACTTACCGAGTTCTCCAGTCGATACAAGTTTTGATGCTATCGATCGCATTGCTATAAAAGATGTACCGTTTACTATCTCGACGATAGCCGCTGAAACGAGGCAAAAAAACAAATGAATTTTTTTTTCTTTTTACTTCATCAACCATTTTTTTCAATTTGTTTCTGTTTTACGTCGTACATCGTATATTTATAAAAATGAAAATATTTCTAGAGATATTGTGCGTTTAAAATAATCTATGCTAAGTTAATACATAGATATTTATTGATTGTTAATTCAATTTTTATGAACATTTACCTAAATAGATCATCCAGTCTGTTATGGCAAACGCGTAAACAAAGCCAGCTAAAATTTTACTCATGGAACTCATTATTCCAACAATGGCATCATCGATTTTTAAAATATGACTGAACACACCGACGGATATCGCAGTTCCTATAAATATAAATATATAATTACACTTTTGAAATTTATAATTATTACAATTAGATAATATATAATATATATATGTGTTGAAGAGGAATCAAAGTTCAAGGATTAGAAATTATTATTTAAATATTATTTAAGTAGTAATATATTTTGAATTTAAATTATCTTGATATCTGTTATCTTATTCCATACTTAATTTGTGTATTTACATATCTTATGTGTTAAATTTATGTGTTAAATTATTTATTAATTTTCATAGTGATAAAATCGTTTTTTTTATTATTTGAAATAATCAAACGTTTAATAAATAAATCATAAATTTAATAATAATATATTGTCAAATAAGATTTAATAAATATTCTTATATTAAACAAAAAAATGCCCAAATCAAACTCATCTCTATTAAAAAAAATTTCTGCTGGGACAATTAGTAACAATTTTGCTTGATTCGAGTACTTTCTTAGCAATTTTTGTATCTTTTTGTTTCTTTCAAGGTTTCTTTACGATTACGAGATCGATGGTTTTGTTCAATAAACGCGGCCTTGTAATTATGGGTTTTCTCTATCATTTTCTCGAAAACGATTGCCGACAATTCCGCTTGGCAACAACAATTTCATTATATAATTTATTCTATAATTCATTGTTCCTTTTGTGAATGAAGTAAATAAAAAAAAAAAAAAATGAGCAGCAAAATTTTTTGAAAAAAAAATTTATTAGAAATAACAATAGACAAACTTATTATGTCTATTTTAAAATCTTCTCTACTCTCAATAAAGATGAGGAACGAAAGAATTTAATGAGAAAATTTTATTTGAAAATTGTTACTCAGAAAATACTTTTATACTTTTAAAAAAATATATCTTTTTAAAAATGAAAAAAATGGGCATTCAATTTAATTTTTAACAGGAAAAGTTTCGTCTTCATAAAAAACAAGTTCACGGTTATGCACTTTGTACATGAGATTGCATTCTGATGTATAATTATAGATAACAATAAAATACAATCTCCATGTAAAATTTTATGCTCTCGTACTTCTCTATTTTTTCACGTTTTTTTTTTTTTTTTTTTTTCATCCTAAAACATATTCCTGCATCCTTCATAAATAATCACGTTTAATTTCGATACTAATACAAAAAGGAACTGTTATTACGAAAATTGTCCATGAAACAAAAATTCTTTTCGATTACTATTTATTCGTGTAAATAATGGTAGATAATTATAAAAATAATTGTCGATCATACAAGATTTAAAGATTTATCTAACTTACCGATTAAATTTGTCACCATGGCAAACGTGGTAAACATACTGAACATAACTTCGTTCCAATGATATCTGTATCTCATGTAAAGATACATAACCGCCATTTCACCTGTAACAACAATAAATATCCATCATAGATCTTTTAATCTTTAATCTTATTTTGTATCATTTGAAATATCCCTTCCTCTCCCCCAAAAAACAAAAACAAAAAGAAAAAAAAGGCACGAATTTTAATTCTCTTTCAAATAAATGAAATAACAATAAGTGTACATTGACAATTTGAATTCCAAATAACAAGGACAACAATTTAATTTAATTTACTCTAAGCTACGGCCATCGTGCGTATTGTAACTTCGTGATCTACAATGTTCTAAATTCAATGTGGGTGGAACGATTCCGCTTGCACAGCATGAAAGATCATGGTCAAAACGTTTTTCAGAATTGGCAGCTCGTACCGCTACCTCTGGCAATGTTGCTTCATCCGTTCGCCGTATGTAATGGGCTTCGAAGTTGAAAATAACACGCGGAAGAACGCTTAACCCTTTCTTTCTACGACGAATATATCGAGATTCGAGGGAAAAAATTCTAGGAATATATAGGAAAATTCAATTCAACTTCAAAAAAAAAAAAAGAAGCTCAAAAATATTTTCGAAACTTTTTTTTTATTTTTCAATTTTTGAAAGTTTTCTTTTACCATTGAATTGGTAATAATTCAATCGTGTTTGTGTTTAGAGTTTAGATTTCATTTTAATTGATACGATTTCACCGAATCTTTCTTCTTTAAAAAGTCTTCGAAGAATTGAAAGTTTCTTATTTTTTATGATAAATTGTATTAGAGAAATTTTCAGCGCTTGTTTATTTCAATGTAATTATAATATCACAATATTCTATTAGTGGATACTAAAATTTAATAAAGGGAAAGATTTAATATCTTTTTTTTTATTCTGTGAGAGATAATGATGATTTGAAGAAATTTATAATATTACGTGTGCAAAATTCAGCTACATCATGTAGCAACAACAATGACAAAATCTTTATTCACTCTGTTATACATCATATTACTTTGGTATTTCGAAAATTACTTATTTTCAGAAGAAGCGTTTAAAAATACTGACTTTATCTTATCACTACAATTGAATATTCTGCAAATTGGGTAGTCATTATAACATTTATTTTTTTTTTTCTTATACGTATTTTTTCCCTTGTGCATACTCCATTTTTCATAATTTGAAATTCAAATTTTTTCCACAATCATTCAAGTTTTAAATTTTCGAATAATTTTTTAATTCTTCCATTTAAAAAAAAAAAACTTTTCATTTCTGATACATTCCATCAATTTCTCGAATAATTCGAATAATGTTACATTATTGAATATTTACAAATTGTTGAAAAAACATAAATATATAGGAATTATTTCAATATTTCGAGTTATTAAGCTGCATTACATTAGGAATATGCACATACGTGAGCGTTACACAACAAGCATTGCGGCTACTAATTGTTTCCGTCGAGTTTAGGTTATTATCACATCATTGCCTTGCTTTTCTCACGAGCATTTTTTTCATTAAAGACAATTCTTGGATTCCTCCTTTATCGATCGATTCATCTTTCAATTTTTTTTTTATGTAATTGGATGAATTGGATGAACTTGGATCAAGCTTGAATTTATCGTTGGGAAATTTTTTTCACACGATATCATTAAACTATAATATATAACATAAACTATAATAATGAATTTATATGCAAATTGATTATTATAGTTATATTTCAATCGTTTAAAGCAAAAATAAAAACAATAATAGTTCTTCCAACAATATATATATCATATATTTTAAAATTTTTTTATTATTTTCAAAGAATTCTAATGGGATTAAAAAGAAAGGAATAAAAAAAGAAAATAAAAAATTGTTCTTATTTAACTATTATTTATCGTATATATTTCTTGTTTTTCTTAATATTTTTTTGAATTGAATTCTTTATTTATATAGATATTAATTTAAACAAAATTGTAAAATTAATTTTCATATTTAAATATGAAAAAAAAATCATCGATTTATAATAAGGTAAAAAAGGAAGGAAAAAATTTAAATAAATAGCCAAAAAATTGTCGGATAAAATTGATCACGTTCCTTTCCGCGAAACTTGCCAATTATCTTATTATTACCAATCTGATTTGCATAATGTCTGCAATTTTGTAACATTGTTTAGTAAGAGAATTCTATTAGAAGAATGCTGAAAATAGCTTGGAAATCGTTTCAAGTGATGAAAAATAAATAAATTAAAGCATACATATTGAAACAATTAGAAAAGAAATTATCGTATAATTATCGATTATCAGTCAAGAAATGACCGATTCGAATTTAATTTTCTTTCTTATCGCTCTATTAAATCGTATCTTCCTGTATTCCTATATTAAATATAATTACGAAATTAACAATTTTAATTACCGTGAAATTATACCGTGAAGTTTTTAATTAAGTTTTATATTTTACCATTCCATTTGAATAATTTTGTTGACGTGTTGTTATGTGTGATTAATTTCAAAATATAAAATTTTAAATTAAGATATAAAGCAGAAATTGAATAATGTGATATCTAAAAATGCTTACATCATTCAATTTGATTCTTGAAACGTATTATTATTAATATTTGTATAAAAAATACAACGATACTCACTATTACTATTTATTTCCTATTGAATTTTCATTAACTTTAAATTAACTTTAAAGAAAATCTTTTCATCAATTGCATTAATACTACTCCAACCATGTACAAATAATTTGAAATTGAACGAATAATGCTGTAAACATCGTGAATAATTTTCTTCTTTCGTTTAATAGATCTTAGAAAAATTCTAATCTGATTTTTTTCTCTCTTAAAATTATCAATTTCTTGAATTTTAATGATTCCAAACTTTGATGCATAGAGTATGTAAATTTTGACCGATTTTACAATCTCGTTATATCGTAAAAGTCACTATAACCGTTCAAACTATCAGGATTATACCGATTTCCGACGGTCAAAGATCTGAAATTACATCAAGCTACTTAGGCCATCAGACCGCATTAGCATACGTGCGCACAGAATCTAGTTCTAATAGGTGTGTTGACTTCACACACCCACCTACTGGTCATAAATCTTAGATCGGTATCTTTGTTGCCGCTACACTTTCTTACATTTATGATTTTATTTCAAGATTAATAAACCTTTTTAATAATTGACCCTTTGAGAACCGATTATCACTCGTCAATTCGAAGGAAAATATATATATATATATATAAATAAAAAGATAAAATTTTTACCTTAAACTCTTATGCAATGATATTTTCTAGAAATTGCACAAATTTATTCTCGCAATTGCCAAATATTTCAGCGACAACATCTATCTTAAATATATTCAAATTATTTTCTTTGTTTGTAAAATCTCAAGTTATCCTATCTTTATGAAAGTTATCCTATCTTATGAAAAAGTTTTATAAAATATATATTTTATTAATGAAATAAAATTTTATATAGTAATTAAACATCTATTATTAATTTATATTACACATAATCAAATTTATTGGAATTAATTTTTAATAGAAAATAGATGGAATTCAAAATTTGAATTTCTACTATTATTAAAAATGAAGAAATATTATATAAACATTATAAAAATTCTTCCCTCTCGAGATGTTTTCCAATTATAATGGAATTTAGTAGGAATGTTTGAAACTTTTTTTACAGAAATTGTTGAAAATAATTTATTTCCTTCTGGAACAATACATACTTTGCATTGATGTTTTAAACGATGATGATGATGATAATGATGATGATGTTTAAAAATTCATAATTTAAATTTTTTTCCACATTCAACAATAATAATCCTGTTTTCAATTGCTTTTGATTTTTGATCGAACTTTTTTTCTTTCTTATCGATGAAACATTTAAATATCGATTAATTTGTGAAAATTTCACGAGCAAAAGGAAACATTAGACGCGACGGAGAAATATTAGAACGTTATGCAACTCTGGAAAAGTTTTTTTTTTTTTTAACAGAGAGATTCATGTTACAGTAATGTTACAATGCTATCGATTATCGTTTCAGAGTATTTAAGACATATTGGTTCACGTTCTTTCGTTCTTTCGATTGTTGCTCTTGTTCATTTGATAATATTAATATTAAAAAAAAAAAAAAAAAATGCTTCACAATGACTTTCGTTAATAACACGACCACGTGTGAATCAATGTCGAAAGGGAGTAGTTAATTCGATGGAATTAACAGTGGCGATTGATTTAATTAACGTTCGACAATTGCACGATCCAATTACACAATTTCATGGATGATTGGAAATAATATGTTCCCTGTAGCTGACGTATCGATAGATCAATTATCTCATCGATTCTAATTCTTTGACGTCACATTGTTTCTATTCTTCCTATTATTATATGGTTCGTTTATCAAAATTAAATAAACGTGAGATTATTAAATAAACGTGAGATTATTTTACATGAGATTATATCAATCATTGTTTTAAAATTATTTTAAATTTAAAAAATAAATTTAAAATAAAATTAAAATCATTTTTTATATAACAATTATATCTTTAAAGGAGAGTATATCCATTCCTTTCGATCATTAAAGATGGCTTCCAATTACAATTTTGCCCTCCTCATTATTAAAATATTTTACCTAACATATCTTTACAAAATTTGTATGAGCTTTCTTAAAAGATATATATGAAATTTCAAATCACTGATACATTCCTTAGAATACGTATAATATTTGTTGAGACAAATGAAATTATTATTTATATTTGATAAAATAATAAAATAATAAAATTAGCAATAAAATCTTGATACAACTGGAAACGAAAATTCTAAACTTTTGACCAATATCTTAAAAAATTAAACAAATTAAGCAAATAAGTTATTTCAACTCAAGAAGAGTAGAATTTTTGCCAACAGGATATACTTTTCTAATATTCTCTATTAAATCCGATATAAAAAAACAATAGAAATCGTACGAATGTGCACGGACGTATAATTGTTGGCCTTTCAAAATCAGGAAGAAGATCATTACACGAAATTGTTATAAGCAGCATGATTACCCATGCCTTTGCAAGATGGATAAAGACGCAACGAAACATTATAATGTCCGGCGTATTAGCGATCTAATTAAATTATGACAAGGACGCTCGCCTTGAATTCCCTGTTGCAATACGAATTCGTGATGCGTTAATAATCCGTAATTGACGGATGGAAACGTATTGTCGTTCGAGATTAGCATCGTGATCATTCGAAGAAAACGGGGACACTAGGTCCATTCATTCATTCATTCATTCATTCATTCATTCGAATGAAAACAAAATAATCGATGAAAGGAAAAAAAAAAAAAATTTAATAAAAGGAAAGAATTGCATACCAGAGGAAACAGAGATAAGCTAATTTGAATATGAATCGATATTCCAACAATGATGTTATTATTGACATACGTAAATAAATATTATTGTGATTCATTCGAGATATTTTTGTCCGTGATAGATTCGAGAGAAAAATATTTATTATTAAAAAAGATTCATCGAAAAGTATTATTGATAAAAGAAAATTCACGTACGTTCGAATAGAAAAAAAGAATACAAGGAATAAAGATAATTATTGTTATATAATAAAGAAAAATTTCCTCGTTGAAAAATTAAAATGAAATCAAGAAGATCGCCTAAAGGAATACGATGATTATGACATTTACAAGGCTAAAACAACGGAGAAAAACAGAATCATTAATCATACTTTCACTTACGGCTCTATGTGAGTTATTCCATATTTCCATATTTCCTGCGTATCTTCGTTCATCGTAGAAACATGGATTAAATTTATTTATCTATTAATAATTATCTACCAATTTCCTTTTTTCTTTTTTTTCTTTTTCTGTTCAAATCATCTCACAGATGACTCTCTCAGCCAGAAATTCTATCGATTATTCTATATCTGTAGACAACAAGATTAGCAATAAAATTTCTCATACTTTCATTTGTCCGTCGACATAGAGGCATACTGGTTTACTACCTATCTATCAGTTAGGCATGTCAATCGTCGATGTGGAAATTGTGAAAGTTGATAGAAATAGAGGTTTACTATAGGAGAAGCCTTCATTCGATAACCAAATGAATAAAATTTTCGTTTGATTTTAACGATGAATTTAAACCAGAAAAATACATCGCAGTAACTTCATAAAACGATCCATTTTTAAATAGATTGATATAGGCAATATATACACGAAAGAAAAATAAAAAAAGTTTGCAGATCACAAGTGTAAACGAAAAAAAGATGAACTTAATTTATCTTAAATGTCATTCTCGAAAGATTTAACGATTTCTCGTCGAGATTTTGCATTTGATATAGGAATTAGATTGGGCCAAAATTATTTAAAAAACAATAAAGATGATCAATAACAATAATAATACTTGCAAAAATAAACTTACCATAAAGTGGACCAATCACAACCATAACGATGACCATGAGCACCAGCATCCTCTTCTGCCGATTATTCCTCCTCTGTTTGAACGCGACGCGAAAAGTCTCCTCGATATGTTTGAACGCGAAAAAGTCGATGATCGAGGCGCACACAGACATCTTCTCCTTATCCGCCTTTTCCATTTTCTTGAGATGCGGCTTAGGCGGTTCCTTGATCACCACTAATCCGTAAATGAAACTCAACACGTAGCACACGGTCGAGATGCTGAACACACCGTAGAATCCAAGCTTCAGATACAATATCCCGGACAAAGCCATCCCGATCGGGACACCGAGCGACAAGAAAACATTAGCAGCACCGATTCTTAGCGTCCTTGACTCGATGGACGTGATATCCGCGATATAACTGAAAACACCCATGAACATTGTGAACCAGCCCCCCGTCAACGCCGGCCAAAATGCCTCGAGCGCGCCCGTGGCCTCCATGGGCACCTCGTCGAAGAAGTACGTGCACAACAGCATGCTGACGCTGCTCAGAAACTCGCCAACGATGGGCAACAGCATGCACGGTTTCCTCAATCCGGTGCGATCGCTCCAGGAACCCATGAACAGGATCAAGATGGTCGGCAATCCGCTGGACAGGGCTGTTTTCCACGTCTGCATACCGGCTACCAATTGCTGCACGGCGGTTTCCTCAGTCTCGTAGCCGGTAGTGTTCCTCCTGGCCAATGCCGTGCAAACGTCGTCGGAATAGGCCAAGTTCACCCTGCACGCTTTTTCCAAGCTCAGATTCTGCGTGGCGAGGGAGGCAAGCATGCAAGGGATCACGTAGCAAGCTATCATAGGCTCCACGGTGATGTTTCTTGTGAAGTAAGACCATTTCTGGCGCAACGTCATGGATTTCCAGACGACCGCCTTCTCGGATATCACCTGGTTACCGATCGTCTCTCCCCGTTTCTTTTCCATCGTGGACGAATTAGTTTTGTCGGCCATCTCTCCTTAAACAAACGCCGAGTTATTCGAAAACTGTGTTTAACTTATATATACGTTCCTGCTATTTTTTTTTTGTTTTTTTTTTTCGTAGTTCTCTATCTATGTAACTCGTAATCTTCGCAATCAACTTCTCTTAACTCCTTCGATGTTGCGTCTTCAATGATGTCAAGTGAAAAAAACTTCCAAGCGTTCGCGATTAGAATCATGCGGGTCGGCGTGAAGAGACGGCGTGTTCGACTCCTGGATACCGGGTGTTCGATTGTTCTCGAAAGAGCGAAGGTGGAACAGAATCCTTTCGAAATTGATCGAATCATACGCGTGTGACATGAATTCTTCCTCTTTTCGTTGGCTACCTCCCTCTGGACCGATTTTACACGTTCGGCTTTTCTTCGAAATAACTCTCCGCTCCTCGATAGACCGAATTTCGATCGGTCCGCGGGAGAGATCGTCTGACCGTCTACTCCTGGCTAATGCACCATTGTGCATTACGATACGCGTTTACCTCTTTCCCTTCTTCTTCCTCTCGGCCACCTCCTGGCTCTGCCTGTTCCTCCACCACCTCTGTGTTCCCTCCATCTGTCGGAGAGTAGTAGTTCGAGGGTACATCCACCTAGCCACGACGTGACACGGCGAAACGTTGCCGGTGCGAATCGTTTCTACGACGATCGACAACCACGCGCAACGTCCACGCTTCCGGTTCCGCTCTTCGACGCTTTTTCGGGTCAAGGTTAGCCTTCGGTGTCTTGGATCCACTTGAAAGGATTCTCACTTGGAGTGGATCCGTAAATGCATCGATGCATTTCGTTGTTGACCGTTTAATTTGGGTAATTTTTTTTTTTTTAATTTTTAATATCATCTTGAGAGAATATTTTCTACGCCTGTTTTAAGATCTTTCATTCAAATCTTCAATGATATCAATTATTCGAGCGTTTGTTTTATATATATGGTTTTTGATTTAGAAAGAAAGATCAAGGAATTAAATGGAGAGAAATTATGGAATATTTTTCATATTCATTTTATTCATACAAAAAGTATCTTGAAATTTACAACATTGGTTGAGAATTTATTTTATGTTTAAACGTTTTCCTTCTATTTAATAGATATTAGGTTTTTAAATTGTTGATTAATTTTTTGTTTATTTCTCAAACGTTTCACTTTACAAATTTAAAGGAATATGGGTCAAGCGCAAACACTTATTTGTCTCTGTTCGAGAACTACGTTCTTTTTTCTCTAATTGGACTTTTATCGTATTGGATGCATCAGGAGAATGTATGTGTAATCTTAACGTTCTCAAAAAAACATTCCTCGAAAATCTGGTTTTACTTCCTTGAAATAAAATAACTCTTTACAAATAAAATACAAGTAAAATATTCGTGATAAGATATCGGTTCAATAATTATTACTTTAAATGTTCGAGATACATTAAATACATATCGAATGAAATAATTCAGTACAGTTTAAAGAGAAATCTTTTTCAAAATTTCAATCAAATCCTTTTTCAATACATTTACAAAAAAAAAAAAATAATTCATCCCTCTTCGTCAATTTATATATCATCAGCTCTTAGAAAAAGAAAGAGCACCACCTTCCCGTGGTCGAAAATACGAGTAAACATTACGAACACGTTGAAAACTATTTCTTCTCTGGTAGGGCAGAGATGAGATGCCGTTTAAATGTGGCAATTTGTTGATAAAATAATCACAACTGTCTTGTCTTCAACAGCTGGAGCCTATTTCAGGCAGGGCCGTGTTCCCTCCCTCATGAGGCCACCTAGAACGATAAATTAAATATTAGAACGTTAAATATATGCATATTCTCAACAACTATCATTAGCATTAACGGATCTTTGCGATCCTCCGATTACGTTCTGCCACGACTGAGCGATCAATTGTGACGAATTGGCAATTACACTTTTTTCGCCACTCTACGGCCTCAAGATTTTTCTTGGATTCTCGATTTTCCATTTGAAATTTGAATCAATGCCGTGTTTCGATACAAAAGGAAAAATACTCAATTTTTGCTCGAGAATTCAACGTGACTTCCATAAAGATCCAATATGAGAGGAATAATCTTGCTTGCAAAGGGTTGAACGAGGTGAAAGAAAAAAAAAAGAAATCACGAGAATCGTAGGAACTCGTGACAAGATTATAGAGGTGTGTGAGTTACGGCCCTGGCTCTTAAGTTGATCGTATGACGTCGTCAAGTGAGTAATGCTCGTAATTCGAGCAATGCTATAAAATATTCGATTCAGAGCCGTAACAGACCCCGTTGTTTTCGTGTTTCCCCGGCACGTCCGCTGCCACCGCGTGCATGAACTCGGAACAGACAGGCTCGACGATAGAGGGACTGGTAATCCATGCTTCGCTCGTCCTTCCCTTTTCATCATCGAAGTCATTCAGTTTTAATTAATATAAATTGATATAAGATTATGAGGGGAGGGGGGAAATTCGATTCGCGATGATTTTTCAACGAGTAAAATCTAAAACTAACACAGATTAAGATAGAATCGTTTGGAAATATTTTATCTCAATTGTTATCGAGCTTACGATGATATACGTATATTAACTTAAATTATATCCATCTAATTGAAATCGATTCAATTTTCAAAAAGTTCGTATTCGACAGTTATTCGACTTGGGGATACAATATTTCTAAGGATTATACAGTTTGTTACGTGGTTTATTTGTTCAATGAGTATTTATGATTTTTATGAGTCATAATGGTAAATTGTGGTTAGATATGATTAATAAAAAATATAAATATTCTTAATTTTATCTTATCGATTTATTCCGATTTCAAATGAATCATGGATATTTTAACTGATCGTTACTGCATTTAAGAGACACATGTATCAAAATGCAAGTCTTTTTATTGCAAGTCAAACAATAAGAAATGATAAGCAACGTTTTATATTTCTTTCTCGTTGTGTCGCTTTAAAACAAGAATGGTTCCTTGTGTACAGTTTTTAATAAAAATATCAGTCATGCGATTCTCGTTAATTGTAATTTTAATTTTACTTAATGAATTACAAGAACTTCGTAATCTTTGAAAGACAATTCTTCGCCGTCGAAAGGTATGTACAAGCATCCGTGACTGGCTTGAACCTGGTAAAAAAACAATATATTCAATGATTATTCTCGTTTCTTAATATCATTGTTAAACATTGAGAGATATGTTATTTATTCAGGTGCAATATCATTTATTCTAATTTACATAACACGTGTTAAACTAAACGTGTTAAATTAAAATCAGTGTTAAATTAAGTATATAAATTTCCTGTACGACAAAAGAAATAAATAATAAACTCCGACCTTGCCAACTGTTTGGGATCCATTATGGAGAACACGGCCAACATACAGAGGTTCTCCACTAGAGGTCTGTCCTGCGACTACCGCATCACTTGGGACAGCTCCATTGCTGCAGAACTCCCATGCGAATTCTCCTTGACACAAAACCTACAGAAAAAATAAGATAGCTTAATAACAATAGAGTTTTCGTTCATTAAAATTTCATCTTAACATCGTACATCTTGAAATATTCAAAAAGAAAAAAAAAAGTACGACGATTATTTTAATATTTTGATAATATTTCATGTTTCTCTATCTATGAAATATTAATGTGTTTTCAATAATTATAATTTCTTATCTCGAGTGTACAATGTTTGATGAAATGTTCCATATAAAAAATTTAACGTGATTCAAAAGATATTCGTGTTCTTCGTAATGATGATGGAATAATAAATTAAAAAGTAGAGTAAATCATTTGAATGAATTAAAAATCGAGACGTATTTGAATCATCATCTAATTAGCTTGAATTTGTTTTCAAATCATCAAGGAAAAAATTAATTTCAAATTATGCTGAAGAGAGCTAAAGATTGATGCAAATTGTATAAATCGTATTCCAATTTTATAGTATGTTTGCCTTGACATGAAATCACGATTCCGTGTTTAAAAAGTGCATAAAAAGACTGTTTATAATTAGAATGAAAATTACAGTCATTGTCAGAAAAATTTAATATTTATTGAAATTATTGAAATTCTCATTTCAAACTTTGCAATTTCATTTACAATTTAATTTTAATTTATAATTTGTTTTTTCTTTGAGGAATAAAAAAGCAAGATAATGAACGATAGTGGAACATTTTTTGTTGGTATTAAGATTAGAGGAATTGCAGGAAAAATTTAATTTGATTCAACGAGATATGATACATTAAATTTTAATTCGATTTTTCTTAAATTTTCTAATTTAATAACAAAATTATATCCTTTGACTGTAATAATAAAATTTTCAAATTTGAATTAGAATTGAATATTATTTCACTTATTGAAAAATTATTTATTGAAATTGAAAAATAAGATTATAGTAAAGATAATTAAATTTTTTAAAATCCTTGAAAGAGCTATTATTAAAATTATTGAAATTATGGATTTCAGATTTCTTGTTTTTATTGTTTTAATATATGTTATTTTTATTATTTTTATTTAAAGCTAATTTTAACAAAAGCAATATTGATTTTTATTGAGACAGAAAATGATTAGATATATATCTATTTATTTTCATCTTTTTTTAATTGTATAGCTTAAGAATAAGTTTTTTCAGATAAATTTGTTATCGAAACAATGTTTTATCATAAACTATAAATCTAAAACTTAATTTTATAATTTCAAAAAAATTAATTTATTGTACATGTTTTATGAATTATTATTATTTGTTATTAATAACAATTATTATTATATTATATATTAGATATTAAATTTATAAGATATTAGAAGAAGTTTCAAATATTACTGAAAATATGTGTATATATACGTAACTTTTATTGTTTATTCGAGTAATGAATAATTTTAATAAAAAAAAACGCAATTTTTTATATTTTACTCACTTCGAAATTGTGTTTACAATGTTCTTCACCATTATAACATACGTAGGCAACATTTTTATCAGGGATTACTTTTGCCGGAAGCATGTCACCCTCGTGAAAGGCTCTGCCAACGTAAATCGTACTACCGTCTATATCACGACCTCCGAGGACCGCAGTTTCCGGCAAACTTTGCCCTGCGCTTCGATTCAACCATCTATAAACTTTAGTTAAAATAATTTTTTAATTTGCAAATTACATAATAAATTATTTAATAAAAAAGGATATTCATGTATTTATGCTGTAATAAAATTATCATTTATTTCAATACATAGATATTTTTTGTAATAGATAAATTCAATGTTCAAATTCAATTTAACGTGAACTAAATTTTATTATGATATAGATAATAATGTGTAAATAATAGAAATGTAAATATAACAAATTTTATGATTTAATTTTTTAGATAATTATTTCTTGATAAAGTTTTTTTACAAATTAATTTCTCGGCTGAAAAAAAAAACAAATAGAGATGTACAATATATATTTTCTTAATTTTATTAATCTATGATGAATCTAATTTGTGATATTTTATTTCACGTTTAATCTTCTTTAAAAATTTTTTAATCAATATTTACGTTATCGATGAAATATTTTAACATTCGAATTAATAATAAATAGAATTAAAATTTATTAGAGGAAGCTTAAAAATATATTAAATTTTCAAAATTTTTAAAGTTTTCAAATATATTATTGAAAAAATATATATATAATATAATATATAATATAATATAATATATATATATAAATACAATAACTTTAATTAGATAATTTTATATAATTTTATAATGTAACTTACCTGGCATTTTTAGACTTGATCTAAGTGTAATTTCTAAAAAGAGTGACGCTTATCTTTCACCTACACTTGATTAAAAGCAGTTGTAATCTTATCTTATATATCTGTATATCTTATCATATATATGTTGTAATATTTGTATTCTCTATAAACTGTGACTGATTTTTTCTTTGAAATATGAATTGATCATCAATAATGATATGATTCTTGAAAATGTTTTTTTATTAAGTAAAAGTAATTTTTTCTCATGATGAAATATTAGAAAATATTTTTGCAAATAATAATAATGCTTAATTGAAATACATTATAGACAGCTTAATATATTATAATCAATTTTTTAAATATTTTTTTTAATATTTTTCATATTGAAAAAACATATTGAAAAATGACATAATAAATTTTTTTCGTTAATTTTATTATGTACAGATATTATTTTATTTATTTAAATACAAATACAAATTTTGTTTATAAATAATATAATAGATTAAAATATATTTCTACAAATTGGACACGTGGACTTTTGACTTGTACTAAACCATTTATACTGAAAGATAAAAATAAAAAAAATAAACATTTTTGTATTAATGATATAAAATTTCAATAAAAATAAAAATGAGAAACTTACCAGGCATGCAGTATGAAATTTCTTACGACATGTGTGACAAGATAATTTTGGTATTTGATACGTATTTATGTGAAAAATACTGAAACATATATAACATTCTTCAACGCCGGCGAATTTCTTATCTAAATTTCTTTTCCATAATGCAAGTCCATCCCAAACAGATCCATTCTATAAAAAAATTGACAATATAAATATTTAAATAATTATTTAAATTCAATTAAACTTAATTATTTATTATATTAATTTTTATATTATTATTTATTATATTAATTATTTTGATTCATTATTACTTGATGTGTAAGAAATATGGACAATTGCATGTGACAATTCCGCCAATTCGCAGTACCACCTGCGTGTTGTCCAGGTTCAACGCTAACTGGTCCCAAAGGATGATTAGATGGTAATGTAATATTAAGTTCTAACTTTGTATCATCCATTTGATATAAAGCTATCACTTCACGGAATGTTGGATGTACTTTTACTTGCATATTTTCAATATTTTGTAATTTATTATTGAGAAGTTCCTCTTGACAAAGCATAGGACTAACATAATGTGTTGTGATCTTATCCACGGCAGCGCTGACTCTACTATCAGCAGTACTCCACCATTGCCTTACCAATACTGGTAGATATCTTAAACTATTCGTATATAACCAACATACGATATGATCTAGCCTCCATTCCGTCCAATTTTCTATAAAATATTATGAATAAACATTAAAAGAAAATTATAAACATGTAATAAAAAAAGAAAATGATTTAAATATTAGTACCACCAAAATCTAGACATGGTTCGGTAGAAAATATTTCCATTAATTTTGTACCCTTGTTTTTATTATCTTGAAGTACTTCTACGGGCATTAGTCGAAAAATATTATTTAATAAATTAGGAAAAAAGTTATCTCTGAAATAAAGATATGTTCTTTAATTATTATATCAAATATTAATAAGCTTAAATAACGCTTAATAATAATATAGATAATATAGATAAATATAAATAAATATAGATAAGTTTAAATAATAATAATCATAATATTTATAATATATTACTTTTGTATTATAAAAAACAAGTAAGTATTGATACATATTTACTTAAGTATTTCAGCATATTGATACAACAAATCTCCATGAGCATTTGCACACATATCTAGAATGATAGCCCATGATAATAAATATCCAATAGTGTAAGTATAAGAATCTGTATATGGTTGAATAGTACAACTCACAGTATCGCATAATCTACAAATTATATATTAAAAATATATTTTTTGTGTAAAAAAAAAAAAATGCTCACTTAATATGTAATGCTTACTTAAAATCCATTAGAATTGTATTTACGATATTTTGTGTATTCTGAAGTACATCTTCCATTTTTTTAATGTTTAAAGTATTTATATCAAAGTTTTCCAATTCAACAGTCGTTTTATCCTGTTGTACAAGCACTGGAACTGTATGCTTTAATATATGATATGCACCTAATTGTATACTGGGTACAGGAGATTGCAGTAATTTTGATGTTAATTTAACAATTGTTGTAAGAGATACATTTGATTGATTTTTGAAGATTATATTTCCATCCAATATTTTTATTGCTTTTCCTAAATAATCCAATAGTACAACAGGTTTCAAAACTGTTGTTTTTTGATTGTATGATTCTGTAACAAAAATTAATTATAAATTATTATATCATATATTATATATATATCATATTATATCATATATTATATATAATTATTACAGAGAGAGAGAGAGAGAGAGAGGGGAGAGAGATTTTTAAATATACCTGCATAAAACATCCAACATTGAATAATTCCATTTTGTACATCAGTGGCAAAAACATTTTTCCACTCATCTAATAATGTTGGTGATATATCTGATATTTGTTCCTGTTCATGTTTGTTAATTAAAATTTGAAGGGCGTGATAAAGTTGACAAACAGCTACTGTTAATGCAGAAACCTATAAAAAAAGAATTTTTGTTAAAAATTGATGATAAATTAATGATTTTAAACAATCTAAATACTATGATACATACTTTAAAATCATTAACATTTTGTTTTGATTTAATAATAGAAAGTTGCCATAACACTAATGATATAAGAATAAAATTCCAATGTTCATATGTTAATTTAGAAGGTATTTTCTTTATGAGTTCTGTTAATAATCTAATAAGTTCTAGAGGTAAATTTAATTTTTCCCATGAAATTTGAGAGATTTCACTAAAAAAAAATACACAAAATATGTTATATGTAAGTGCTATATTTAGATTATATATATATCTTAAAAATTTACCAATCAAGAACTAATAATGAAGGATTTTCTTTCTCATAAGATATTATTTTTTCTAAAATATTAGAATAAGTTGAACTATCTTGCTTATTCATCAATAAACTCCTTGTTATTATTAATTCAAAAATATCGTTATCTGTTGGTATTGAAATATTTTCAAAATTTTGAAATTTGGATAAAATCTGAAATTAAATTTTCTATTATTGTATAGAATTAAAAATTAATTATTTTTGAAAATAGTATAATACCTGCAAACTTTGAAACGTTATTTCTTCATTTATAGTAAATATATCATTATTTCTATAATTTTCAAATAATTCTTTAGGTTCTTTGTTAGAATATAATTCAGTACAACAGAAATATATTATATATGATAACATACTTCCATATTTTGAAAAATTACTGCAAATATAATAAATAATAATTATAAAATAATTCAACTAAAACTATATTGATTTGAATATTAACTTGAATTATTCTTACATTTTCAGATAATCACGAATATCATTAAATATATTTTCATTTACATATATTTGTAATTGTTTAAAGCTATCTTGTACAATGGTTAAAGTTTTATTCACATTGTAATAGTATTTAGTCTGAAAATAAATATTTAATAAAATATTTATTTCTTTATTATTGAAATTAAATATTTTTATAAATTATAATTAGTTACTTACAGATTTATAATATTTGGAATAACTTTTGCCTAAAATAATCGAATATATAATATTAATTAATATATTTATAATTCCTGGTAAATTTAAATCATGTATTGAAAATTTTTCAATACTGGATTTTTCTGTTTCATATTCATTGATAGATCTCAAACATAAATTATTCAATAAATTTATATTGAACAATGCCCATTTCAAGCAGTTTTCAACATGATCCGTTATTGTATTACAAGTTATATCAATAGATATACATTTCTGATGAATTTGTATTTTTTGTTCAAAAGATGATACATATAATTCACCAGTTATTACTTCACCATATAAAATTATTCCAGTTATTTCAGCCATTAACATTTTTATATCAGAATCTGTTAAAAATGTTAAAATAATTTCTTCTGCATAATCTTCCTTTATATAAATTTTATTATCAAGTATAATTTCAATGAAATCCACTGCTATGTCTATCAATATTTCTTTGTTATATTCTTCATTTCTAAATATAAATAAAACATAATGAAAATTATGAAAAATACATTGAAATATTTTATTAAATAATGAACACATATTCTTACTGATTATATATTTTCTTCCACATAGAAGAGGCAAATTTTTTGGTTAAATCAATAAATCTTGATTGTGAAAGTTTCTGAATAGCTTTTAGAAGACTTTTTTTCCATACATCTCGCATTGCATTAACAAAAATGGAATTATTATTAAAATAATCATGTGAATGCAATTCAAAAAGTGTACTTAATATTTCTATTGCTCCATTAGATATTTCTTTGTGAGTCCAAATTAATGGAACAATACAAGAAATTAATTTTGCGAAATCTAACAAATATATTTCATCTATTTCATAGAATGAATTGCAAAGTATAGATATAATTTCATTGATTCCTTCTTCTTCTACTAATAAATCTAAAAAATATATATTGTTGATAATGTATTAATAGAAACAATTAGAATAAATAAAAACTTACTGCCATCATCTAGAGGTTCAAAAGCTAATAAAATAAGATTCTGATTCTTTTCAAGATCAGAATAATTGCCTAAAGCAATTTCTTTAGCTATATCTATCAATAAGCTAGTTATTTTAGATTGTGAACACCATTTTTTTATTATAATATCATTTCTATGCTTTTTAGATAAAGCACATTGTATAATATTTCTTGTAATTATAATATCATCAAACTAAAAATAAAAATAAAAATATATAATAAGATATATATTTTTAATGTGTAAAAAAATATTTACCTCTGTCAATGATTTTAAAATTTCGTTTCTTTCAGAATGATTCATATATTTCATAAGATTAAAAATTAATTCTATTATATGTTCAGTTTCTTTTGATTGTTCCAGTAACCAATCTCGTAAAATTTCATTACAGAAATTAAGAAAATTAATATGTGTTTTAAGAAATTCAGACAAATTTTTAAATAATTCATCGCTTTCAAAACATATTATAAGCTTATTTAAATATGCAATATATTTTTTTTCACGTTTTTCAGTGATTTGATTAAAATATTTTACACAAAGGTAATTAACGAAGTTATTAAGTTCAGAAAGAAATTCAGTATCAGCATCATTTTCAATATTTTGTATTTGGGATTGAGTTATTATATTTTCTTCTGTATTACAGAATTTTACTTTTAAATTTTTACGAGTATGCATAGGAGCTGTCTTTAATGTAAATAAAAATTCTATTTGAGAATTATTTGTATCTGAAATATCAAATATTTCGGAATTTTCGCTAGAATCTACAAGCGAAGCAAATAATATATTAAGATTCTTCCAAAACTCTTGTATCAAATACGAATAAGATTTATAATCATGATTATATCGATTTTTACTCCAATACCGTATTAAATGAGTAATTTCAGAAAAAAGTATTTGTTTCATTTGATTATTTTCTTTTAAACACATTTCTAATGCTGGTATGAGCTGAAATAATTAATAAAATAATTTTAAATTATTATTATATTTCTTCTGTAGAAATCATACAATATAAATATAGAAAAATAAAATAAAAGATAGATAAAATAAAAACCTGTTCTCTGAGCAGCATATTACTTAAATCTTGATTATTAACATTTAAAAGAACAGAATAACGCAAACATTCGATAAACGATGTCGTTACTGCCAGCATTTCTGAACGACTTATTTGTACACTTTTTACGGAAAATCTACAAAAAAATAAATTATCATATTTTTTATTACCTCTTGCAATATAATATAAATAAAATATTTAATTCAATTAATTGATACCCTTGTCGCATATTGTTGAAAAAATTTATGTACAAGTAATAAGAATCAACATTGAATTTTGGAAATTGACTGATAAAAGGTAATAAATTCGGATAAACAATACTAGCGCAACATTGTCCTCCACTTCGTAAAATACGCCATAATTTCGGTAGCACTAATTTTTCAATACTTACTACAGAGTACCAATCCTAAAGATAACATATTATTTAATATCATAATTTCATTTCATTATCATATCAAATATTATATATAAATAATAATTACCTCTATTTTATTTATAGTAACAAGCACAGATTCCCATACAGCTGATAACAATGCAGGCTCTGTTTCATCAAGATTATTCATGATTGTTGTTACAGTTTTTTTTTTTTCATTTTGTAATAATATATTAGCATTCTCAATCATTGATGTTAATACATTAAAAAAAGCAATTTTCACTGGAAAAGCATCATTTTTAACTAATTTCCAAAATTTATTGCTGCTTATAATTTTATTATGAATATCAAATATTTTTTCAATTTCTTGAATAGGAACTTTTTTTAAATAAATACTGTATCCTTGTAAACTAGATATTAGTACTCTCTGATATTTTGCTTCCATTTCCTCTATAGTAAGATTCCTAAAAACATATATATAATAATTTTTATTGTATTTCTTTCTAATATTCATTAATAGAATTATATTTAAGAAAAACATACTTTTGTACAGATAAAGTCTGAGCACTATGAACAGTAATGTTATCACAGATATAAGTTACAATTTCATGTTGACAATATATAATAGCATCAGTAATTTTTTTTGATGGAAATGTATCCTATGTGTAAAAAAATGTTTATATTAAAAAAATAATTTAATAATTCCATTAATTTTTGTGTATGTTAAATGATAATCATTTACATTAAATGAATTACTAGCAGTAGATGCAGCAGGAGGATATGTGTCATATTGTGAAGTAAACCAAGCTCCTGCTAATTGTTTCAAATATAATGCTATATTCTTGCCTACACGTTTTACAACAGCTGCATGTGCTAATTGAGCACCTTCTCTTACTCTGTGTTCTACATCTATTGCTAAGGCACAATACAATCGTGGCCAAAATGGTAACATTCCTTCCACAGTTGATATTTCTGAATCCTTACACATAATAGCAAATTCTTGTAAAGCCTGAAATATTAATTTAAAAAATATTTTTGGTTTTAACATTACATTTATTTAAATAATAATAATTATTTTTTACCTTGCATTTAGTTGTTGAATCTTTCTTATTCATTTTCTTTAATACTATTTGAAAATTACTATCAACATTGTTCATTTCAATTTCATTAGTATTGCAAAGAGTTAAACCTGGTAATACAGGTACATATCCTCCATCTTTTACAGCTGAGAAACCAACAAAATTTGGTATTGAAGTGCCTAATAATTCTGCACTTCTACTGCTATTTGATGGCTATAAATAATAATAGTAATAAATAATAATAATGATGATAATGATAAAAAATGTTAACAATTAAAAATTTTTGTTGATAAGTCATATATTGAATTTAATTTAAAATTAATTTAAAATTAATTTAAATTTTATTAAAACTTTTTGTTTATTATACAATTATTAAAAAATATAATTTTATAATATTTTTATTATTATTTAATTTTTTAAGTAAAAATATTGTAATAATTTTAAATTAAGAAAAATTGTAATATAATAAAATTTAACCTATAGTTTTATAAAAATTAATTTTTTACTAATATAAGTTTTTTCTTACCCTTGCATTATTTTTCGTTCGTTGCGCTTGTTTGTTCTTTCCCATGATAATTATAAGAACAACGAAGAACAAAAAATGATGAAACTACACATAAATTTTGTTCATTTAGATTTGCACTCGTAAAGTAGTAAATAGATACCACGTTTGTAACAGCTGATCTATTATATACAACTTGTATTATATGTTTTTTTTATCAATGTATTATTTCTCATTCAATTAAAAATTTTGAATAACTTGCACAGTTTTAATTTTTTTTATATATCTTTATAGTATTTTTTTTTAAGATTAATATGCATGAAAATCTTATTAAATATTTCAAAAAGCGAAATTATATCAAAATACGATGTTATATCGTATAAAATTAATATCGTATTGAATATTAAATTAGAAAGAATTATTTTATTTTGAGGCAAGTAAGAAATTATTAAATATAATCAAAAATAGTTTGTATTTTTATAAAATAAAAATATTCTATTATAGGTTAAGGAAATAAAGAAGATGAGTGTTGGAAACAAATTGAGTCAAAGATTGCTATTGTCATATTGTTCATTTACTTGCATTTACTTTCCTGGAATTCTGATATTACTTAGCTTAAATAATAATTTATATAATGTGGGAAAATACAAATTTATTCCAGTATTATTAATTTTGCTTTTCGCAGAAATAATCAAATTGATGTTTCCTATATTTCATTCTGAATCAATACTTATAACAAAAACTGAATCAAGAATATCTTCAAAAGCTAAAAAAATTTGGTATAAATATTTGAAAGAAATCTTTAAATTTTTATTGGCTGGTTTTCTTCTATCTATTGTATATTACATTGTTATTATATTGTTTGGTGCCCCAGTATTTATGCACCATGAAGAAACTACTATGCTTACTATGACACTGACTACTCTTACATTTGTTCCTGCAAGTTTACATTTAGGAGTAGATGGAGCATTAGAAATATTAACAGGAGCACAGTCACAAAAAGGCAATGTTCTAGTTGATGCTATAAAAACAAATATACAAGGTACTCTTTTGGGTACATGGTTAGGAGCTATTGTAATTCCATTAGATTGGGATCGACCATGGCAAGCTTGGCCAATTCCATGTGTTTTAGGTGCTCTTTTTGGCTATACAATTGCACATTTTATTACTCTTGTAAAAATATTATTTATATTAAGATTAAATAAAAAAGTTCACAGATAAATATTAATAATTATATAAACAAATAAAATTTGATAATATGAATTTCAGTTAATATTTTATTTATGCAATAATTTATTTTCAAATGATTAAAATATATTTTTAATAAACTGATTTCTCATAAAAAAATTTTAGAGCAAATATTTTTTATTGTATTAGTTTTATTAAGAATTTTTTGTATGATATATTATTAAAAAATCTTATATAAAACTTGTTTACTACTTTATACAATATAATGAACATATTAAAAATAATTTATAAATTTATGAAAAAGTTATGAAAAAATTTAAAGAAAATATAAATTTTTCCATGTAAAATAAATTTTATCTGTAAAAAAAGTCATGTTACATAAAACTTTTTATGATGCAACTTGTTAATGATTAAAATTAATAATAATAATAATGTAACTTGATTTATAAAGATTATTATAAACTTATTATAAAGTAAAGAATATAATTAATAAATTATAGAAATGTAAACTTTAATGAATATTGTCTTTAAAAAATGATGATCTTCTCTATAAACTTTATTTTCCTATATAAAAATTATACGAAATTTTATTATAATATATATTTTTTATATACAAATATATTAATACTAGATGAAATAAATTATTATATTTCCCTTAAGTATTAATTTATTTAAAATATATATTAAAATTTATAAATTTAATGTATTTATAAATTATTTTTAGATTATAAAATTTATTTGATAATTTTTTTAGTATACAATTTTTTTATAAAATTTTTTAAACACTGATGCCAGTAGTATCGAAATAGAATCGCATGCAACTACGACTTTAGTCATCTCATTTTATCGTTAAATGGATTATAAATTGTTATCAATATTCAGAAAAATTAATACTTTTTAAAATATTGTTTAATAAATTTCTTACTTTTATAAAGAATTAATAAAATTTTTTATTACGTTGTTAATTAAACAAGTTAATTAAAAGTTTTGTAATTATGTCGAATACTGCTGGAAAGGTATTTATTTTTTTTAGATAAATTATTTTGAATTATTATTACAATTAAATAAAAATTAAGTATTAATTTATTTCTTTTTGAAACATTAAATTGATTATATCAACTTTCGATTAATTTTATAAAATTATTTAATAATAAAAATTATATATATCTTTTTATGTCATTTTATTAAATTAAGAGAGATATAAATTTAATTTAAATTATTTTATTAAGTTAAGAATGATGATATAAATTTAATTATTAATAAATTATGTATTTAAATAAATTAAAAATTTTTTTATATAATAGGTAATCAAATGTAAAGCTGCTGTAGCATGGAAAGAAAAACAACCTCTTTCATTTGAAGAAATTGAAGTTGCACCTCCAAAAGCTCATGAAGTAAGAATTAAAATTATATTTGTGGCTTTATGTCATACAGATGCTTATACTTTAGATGGATTAGATCCAGAAGGAATTTTTCCTTGTATTCTTGGTCATGAAGGTAGTGGTATTGTTGAAAGTGTAGGAGAAGAAGTTACAGAATTTCAACCTGGTATTTTTATATTGTTCATTATTGGATATTATATTTTTTAACCATTAAATAATTTTATATATCAAAATTATAGGTGATCATGTGATTCCATTATATGTTCCTCAATGTGGGGATTGCAAATTTTGTAAATCCCCAAAAACAAATCTATGCAGTAAGATTCGTATGACACAAGGCAAAGGTGTAATGCCTGATGGAACTTCTAGATTTACATGCAAGGGTCAAACTCTTGCCCATTTCATGGGTTGTTCTACTTTTTCTGAATATACTGTAGTTGCAGATATTTCTCTTGCTAAGGTATTTTTATTTTATAAAATAAATTAATTATTTTATATTTATTAAATTATTACATAATAATTAAATATAATGATTAAAATTTATATTATTTATTAAAAAAAATTTATATAACAGATTGATCCTACTGCACCACTTGATAAAGTATCTCTATTGGCATGTGGAGTATCTACTGGATATGGTGCTGCTTTAAATACTGCTAAAGTAGAATCTGGAAGTACATGTGCTATATGGGGATTAGGTGCAGTTGGATTGGCAGTTGCACTTGGTTGTAAAAAAGCTGGTGCCAAACGTATTATTGGAATAGATGTGAATCCAAATAAATTTGAAATTGGTAAGATGAAAGAATTTATTAAAATTTTTTCAAAAACATAAGATATTATTAAACAATTTTTATTATTTTTTAGCTAAAACATTTGGATGTACCGAATTTGTTAATCCTAAAGATTATGATAAGCCAATTCAGGAAGTCCTAATAGAACTAACCGATGGTGGACTGGATTATACTTTTGAATGTGTTGGTAATGTGAATACTATGGTAAGTTTTAATTGTTAAATCAAAATTTTCAACAACAACAAAACATTGGACCTGTTTTATTAATATTGTTTTTATTGATTTTATTTATTAATAAAAATCAATATCGTATTTTTAGAGAGCTGCATTAGAATCTTGTCATAAAGGTTGGGGTACATCCGTTATTGTGGGTGTAGCTGCGGCGGGTCAAGAAATCAGTACTCGTCCATTTCAATTGGTAACAGGACGCGTATGGAAAGGAACTGCATTTGGTGGTTGGAAATCTAAAGAAAGTGTTCCTAAATTGGTGAAAGAATATATGTCAAAATCATTAATACTTGATGAATTTATTACACATACTCTACCCTTTGAAAAGATAAATGAAGGTTTTGATTTATTGCATTCAGGCAATTGGTAAGTTTCAATAATTTTTGTTTAATGAACTATTTAAAATATTAAAATATTATTTCTTTTTTATTACAGTTTAAGAGCTGTGCTCAAGTATTAAAAAGCATATAAATTCTTATAAGTTTTTATATTATTTGTATTTTAACTAAAACATATTTGTAAAACATTTTATATACAAATAAAAATAATATATTTCCTTATAAATATAATTTTCTATTCCTGTAATTAATTAGGTTCGAAGTGATTGTAGTCTTCAGATTTCTACAACAATCTTTATTCATAAAGAATTCTTACAGCCACATGTACAATACCAATTTGGTGAAATATTAATAGTAGCTCTGGAATGAAGTAAAAATTCTTTACGCTTTGACCAAGTGCATACCTTACAAAATCATCACGGTACGAAGATCATAGACGATGATTTTTCATTGTATATAATTATGTATATACAATATGCAAGACTTTCGGTAAAACTATTTATGTTTGTTTGAAGTTAATATACTTGTTAATCTAGGTCGACGGTAATAATTCAGGCGGAATATAAATTGCGCTCAACGTAGCAAAGAGTATACACGTTAATTAATTCATCGCGGACGAGGTTCCCGTACACCAAATGTTCAATGGCACGGAGAGTTTCTATGAATTCTTATTGTATGTTATTTTAAATCTCTGAAAATGATGCGGCACCTATCATGTTAATTGTTAAAATGCAAAATTTACTCTCAAATAATTTATGTAGAATAATAAAACTTAGTTTCGGTGTAAATATGTTTTACTGATAGTTTCTATTTGATATATAATATTATCGATCAAGTATTTGTAAAAAAGATTAGAGTAAATCTTGTTGTTTTTAATAAGAATATAAGTAAGTACTTAAATTCGGAATACATGTATCTCTAATTAATAATATATCGGAGCATAAAGAAATTAAAATGAAATAAAGCATAATCTAAGTTTAAAAACATAATCTCCATGTTTTTTGCTCCTTTCTAGACAAGAGATACATATAATTTGCACTGGCTATTCCTACGTAAATTGCCGTCTAATACTAGGGCATATTCACATAGTCACACCGATCAGTTTTCTACGGATTATATGTTATACTCTAGAACCTACGGTGTACCACACACTCGTTAAGTAAAAGTTTGTTAAGTAAAAATACTTATAATTACAATAAACGCAGACAAATCACGATGTGTTCGTTGAATATGAACAATATACTTTATTACTTGTACTTGATTTTAATAAATTAATATATCATCAATGAATTATAGTAAAATTATACAATACTAATACTAATACAACAAATAAAAAGAAATAAATTTTCGAAGAAAGCAGAAAATTTTATAAATATTATAAAAATCGAATATTAATTAAAAATAATATGTAATTTATTTCACTCATCGTGATTAAACTGCGGTTCAGTTTAGTTAGCGAGTATGAAATAGGTCATTTTTTTATGCAATATATCTTACACTAAATCTCGCAACGCAAGATGGCTACGAGAGAAAAGAAAATTAAAAAAAAAAAAAAAAAAAAAAAGATAAAAATAGTGGAAGAAGAATTAGCGTGAAGAAAATAAATAAGCGTGGAGACAGAAATCTATATCTGCTGTCGGCGTATATTTTCTTGTGTTAAGAATCAGCGAATCAGTGCTTTATAACGAGAGAGCTCAATTAAATCTATGTTCGTGATTCGGACTATGCAAATACTTTTCTGTTTACTTTATCCTACGTGTTCAAGCGTGTGCATCTCTCTAAGATTGTATTAGATGCGTATTTCGCATCTGCTGACGATCTGCCAGATTTTCTCTCTCAGCCAGCTTGTTTTCGTCCGCTATATTATCGTAAGTCATAGACAGTATTATATATATATATATATTTATATGTATATTTATATATATATATTATGCTTAGACATTATAATTCGAGATATCGTTAATCTAGCGCAATTAGAAATCATAATTACATAGAGCATTTTTCTTCTTTTCTTTTTCTTTTTTCGTATTTCTTTTTTTTTTTTTTTTTTTTTTTTAAAGATATTATAATTTCTATACGTCGTGGAGTGGACATGTGAATTTTACCCGATGGAGGATGAGCTTCTTTCCCTTCTCCTATTGCATTGTTTTTTTTCTCTTTCTCTCTCTCTCTCTCTTTCTCTCTCTCTTTCTCTCTCTTCTCTCTCTCTCTCGCGAAACTTCTAGTTTGTAAATGCATAAATAGTATATAATTATATTATTTATAGAGTTGTGCATGGAGGTACCTCGACAGGCACACAGGGTACAACGTATCTCATTAAAATTATAAGGACGATTCTGTCACTGCGTCGAACATCGATATCTCCTGTATGGTGTTTGATTAAAATAGAGCGTCACACGAGATTGTTATTGCACGATTTAGCCCTTCAATTATTGCACTGTACAAGCATCCTACGATTCTTCGATTCAGCAGCTTCTTAACCCGTTTGGCACTTGTGTTATGAACAAAAGAAAAGAAAAAGAAAAAATAATAATAAAAATTAAAAAAAAAATATTTATATCAATATCCATTATTTAAATTCAATCTATAAACTAAGTTCAATTAATAAAAAATATGTTAAATTAATTATTATAAAAAAATGATCATTCTCGGGTTAAGGATCATGACCAATGGACAAAGAGGACTTAATATTCAAGTCGTGCAATCACGATGCCAGAGGTTATCCGCTGCTCGTGTCACATCTCGTTAATCCTCATACTTGTTTCGTTGCTCCTCTGACTTTTAGGTTCACGCGTGAGTCGCAGCCTACGCCGACCTGTTTCACTTGAAGACACCTCCAATCACAACGGCGATACTCGAAATCAGTGGACAACCGGGAGAACGGTTTTCAATTCTCCTTTACAAGAGGAATCGTGTCGTCCGGCTGTTCGATATCACGTTAAGTTGCTGCTCCCGTTTCTGTTGTTGCTGGCTGATTCTAAGGAATCTAAAAGTCTAATGGCTGATCGGCGGACCCTTCGAGATCCTGGGCAGAATCTGTACCACCATCTTCGTCATCGTCCAAATCCACGCTATTCGTCTTTAATCCACCGTTGCTGATCTTGTTCACGATCGTGTCTGGAATGTTATGAAGATAAGTATTATAATCATTTTGAACGAATGTTTTACCATTGACATAATTCGAACCCATTTACCGCAATCTGGCTTGCTGCCACGTGTTCTAGTCCCAGCGAATTCCACACCATGAGGATCCACACACCAACAGAGTCCTAAACCACGATGGCACTGGGTGCTTCGATAATACCCTCGAGAATCGCAAGCAGGTGCAACGTCGGGTGATGATCGTTTACGTACAGCGGCACAGGGGCGTTCAGCCTTTGAAAAGCATCCACACCATTCAGGACCACTTACAAAGATGTCTCTGAAAAAGGATTGTCAAATATGGTTGATGCTTGCTGGTATTATATATCTTCTTGGTTAAAATATTCTATCTAACATTTATATATATATATGAAGATTCTTTAAAAGGAAAATAATAAAGCTTCAAATTTCTTGAATACTCTTCAAGGAGTATAATAAAAAGTAAATAAGGGCTCAGAATGAAAGAATGATACAAACATGTTTATTTTCAGAAAATCATTAGTGCTTAGTAACCATTATTTATAATTATTATCTTGGAAAAATTTTCTTCTTGTACCAAGAATTATATCCCATCCCAGTAAATCATTACACATCCAATTTAATCTCTATATATATCCTGAGAGAACGAAAATTCCAAACGCAACGACCCATCATTTCTTATTTCCCCGTTTGCATTCGAGCTAAAAGCAATTGATTCGGAATGAAAGTTTCACACACGTTCCATGTGTCTGCCTCTTAACGACCAGCCACTCTCCGCTCCGTAGGCACGTACGCTCGAGACCTATTACGCTCGAGCGTCAAGTCTCTCGAAGGTATTAAAAACTGAAAGGGTTTCTCTCCCTCTCTTTCACTCTCTCTTCGTTCTCTTTTCGGGTCACGTATCCGCGGACTTTAATGATTTACAAGCAACGGACACGACGGGATTATATATATATAAAAGAAAGAAAAATTCGCGGCGAAATGTAACAAACGGGTTAGACAACTAGGTGGAGATGTACGTGAACGGAATAACATCCCGGATGGCCGGAAGTCATCTTACCTGTCCGTGTCGCAACCGTCGAGGAACGGTTTCAGACACGGCTCGTTTTGATCGTGTTCCAGCCCGTACAACTCGGAAAGAGAGAGTCTGCCATCGTTGTCGCTGTCCAAATGTCCGAACATCCACCTGACCTCGCTCTGGCAACCGATAGGGAAGTGACCTGGAAACAGTGCACAGGAATGAAATATGAATTCCGATGACCCTGTCTCTGCAGGCAGAAATATATAAATATCTCTCGACGGGGGGAACAACTTGGTAACATAACACGTGTGTTAAATAAAAATTGGACCCATTGGATGCACTTGCGTTCAGCGAGCATCTGTGCAAAAAATATTATCAGTCTATGTTTCCAGGAAATTGCAGTATTTAAGTGGTGGATCGATACGATTCTATAATGATGAACGAGATGAAAAGTTTAATGCCTCGGGGGGGTGAGTGAAAATTGTATACGATAGAGTGTTGCATTAATTATCAATATTCTTTTATTATAATATGGCATTCGAAATATATCAAGTATATAAGATTCCTTCAAACTTTGCTACTGTTTTTTTTTATAAAAATAAGTTCATAAATGTTTCGTTAAAAAGAATAATTCAATTCGATACTTATCAAATTTGTGATATCCACATGAATACAGCCATCTATAAAGTTTACACCTTATATATACTTTTCGATTTAAAAAAATAAATCTTTTTTATTAAGAAGATTCTGTTAAAATTCACACGAATTTTTCTTTTAAAACGAATCCATTACACAATCATTTTTCCACGTTAAAATTATACGCACATCTACTTTGTCAACCGTCCATCTCACAGTGGATATATTTCGGTTGCAAGATCGGATTGAAACCGTACAAATTGGGAACAATATCGACATAGACAGAGGAGAGTAATCGGCGACAGATCTGAGGGGGGAAGCGATTCATTTAAATGGGACAATTCCTCGCTGGTACGAAAGTGATTGTACCGAAGTCGAATAGCGTGCGGTGACGTGAGGCAGTTCCGAACTATTTTGGATCGTGCGCGCTGTAATGTCCAGAGAGACCACCCTTTTCGTGCGGGGCAATTAGTCTCTTGTATATTCAACTCCGATCGGCCACGTTCTCTGCAGAACTTGCCCGTTCTGAATGGTTTATCGGCAACGATACTTTTAACCCCAATGTTAAACGTGTTATCCCAATGTTACGTGGTCAACGAGACAAGATAATCCTTTCGAATTCGTCGAACGAGAGATTTCTTTAAAGATAAAAATTTATCCGTTTTTCTTTTCCTTTTCGAATTTTTAATCAATTTATGATTGAATCGATACTGCTTTCGTGTGCGATCGTAGAATTTTTTAATGGTAATGCGGTAATTAACAAGTTCTTCGAGAAAAAAATATCATAATAAAATCAAAATTAGTATGAAATTGAAATTACATTATATTTGGGATAATTTTGATTTTTATATTATTTCATAAAAATTTCACTGATTAATTTTAATTTTGATCAGTGTCCACTTTCATTCTAATTATTCATGACTTTAGCTTGGTACGAGAACATTGACTCTCGGGTCATTTTGACTGGATTACTCGGTTTAATGATTCTAATCGGAATTGGTGATTCAGGAATCGTTTTAACAGGCTTTCACGAATCACCAGATAATTCCAACAGGATTTGACAACTTGGGAATTGTGTCGATTTAATGATTTATTAAAAATCTTAATCAAACATAAATTTTTATATCAATTTTTTAAATTGATTCTAATTTCGAATTCTTATATTTTCTCCTGTATTTCTATATTAGTATATAATGTAAATAAATTCTTAATAACTTTGAACAAACAAGAAATTTCGAAAATTTTAAATGATAGATACTCAAAAGACATTCGATGTTATTTTTTCTTTCGTTTCTGTATCAATAAAAGATGAGTTTTGAAATTTTTCAACGGAATTTTTAATCGATCTTGTTAATCGAGAGACACATTTAGAGAGAAATTTATAATTTTCAAACTAATTTGACATCGAAAAACATCGTCCACATCGATAACACGAATGACGATGCAAGAGTTTCGATGGTTTCGTTACCTACGCTTCTAATTTGTTGCGCCACGTCATCGCATGTGCAATTTACTGATAATTAGAGCAACTTTTAGCACGTCACCATCGTTTCCGTTTCTACCAACTGTTAAGCAAAACATGGGATGCAATTATCGTTACATTGGTCACGCGATTTTTACGCCCTGCTATTGTTTACCAGAGTAAAATTATCTGAAATATTCCTCAAACGTTATATTTGAGGAATAAATCATGTTTGTAATTTGAATTAAAAAATTAATTTAATTTCAATGAAGTAATTAACTGATATTGATTGTTATTCAAATTTTCTTACAATGAATATATTAATATAAATTTCTACTTTTAACAATAACTTATTAAATTATTTGATTGATGAAAAAAAAAACAAAATTATTAATAGATCTTTATGAGCTAACGAAATAAAAATTAAACAATGATTTGCACATTTAATCTTTCATAATATTATTAAATTCACAAGTGAAATTTCACTTTTCAATATCTTGTGAGAGAAAATATTTTAATTAATTTAAAATTTATGTAGATAATAAAACAGAAATGCCAAATTGTATTAGAATTCTTTTAAAAGTCTATAATGTTAAAAAAAAAATGAAGATATCACTTATAGTGATGGTACATTGATGAATACCAGAGGGTTGATGATGGAAAATTTTCCAGAAAGCTCAATCTAATTAACGAAACCCAATTGGAATGTCATATTCCAAACCATAAATCCAAGACTGACCTAGTTCTAAGATCTATATGCTCGTACCTTTAGGTTTAGGATGAGGGCGACGGTGTTTAGAATCAGCCATCACGACAGAGAACCAATCCAGGAGACGATTCGCCATTGCAGGCTTGGATGACGGGGGGCAATCAGAGTTTCGCGATGATTGGGAGTTATACGTCGATTTTAAGGGGGATGGAGTCTTTTCCATTACTTCGTTGCTCATCAGATGCTTGTCGTCGTACTTGCTTCCAACCAGTGCCTGAAATAAGTAAGGGTAAATAAATAATTTGTATAAAACTTGAATTAAATATACGTATATTTAGGATATTAATATATTCGTGGAAATACTTTAGAAAAATTTTAAAGATGATTCTAATAGATTCAAAATAAATACTCTAAAAATTAATATTCTTAAAAATGGTTAAGGAAATAATAAGTTATTATTAACTTTATTTATTGAATTATAAATAATTTGAGTTTGTGTTACATGAAATGGGACAGTAAGAAATTGCAATCTCTTTTTATTTAACAATTGAATTTAAATTATGAAATTATATGCTTGTAGATATGATAATTTTACATGGATGATATAAAAAAAAATTCAGGAATTCTTTTATTGTGGATGAAAGGATATTGAAGATTTGTCGACTCCTAACTTTTTAATTCCTTTCTGTTCTTAATGCAATAATAAGATTATTCGATATCAAAGAATCAAGATTAAATAAAAATGAAATTAGAAATTAAACATAGAAAAAAAATAAAAGATATAAAATAATACTTTCCTGTTTCTATCCTATTATTTAGTTCTTATATCATTTCTGATATACGAGTATTCTCAGACTTGCATTTTTAAAAATTATCTTTAAATATCTCGAGTTTTATCGTTTCGAATAATTAAAGAATCTCTTTCTTTACCAAAAAAAAAAAAAAAAATTTGAAAATTCCTCGTAAGCATCAAAGAAACAAAGAGATTACGCGTAGAAATAAGTTTATGTTTCATCATTAATTAATCATCACGAGCCTGAATTTATAGGAACCGGTAATAATTTTCTATCCACGAACACAATTCGTGTCCATTAATTAAGAATCTTTTCGCGCGAATTTACATACTTTTAACGCGTTATTCAATGATCCTTCGATTGCGAATTCGAGTTTGATTATATCGTCGGGGCAATTCGTTGAAATTAATTCACTAACCTGTTCACAAATTAGTAATGCGAAACGAAATTTACTGAAAAGAGCGTTGTACATTGATCCTTTGATTACGTTTTAACATTCGTTCATTGCATCGTAACAATATTTCGAAAAATGAGAAAAACTTTTTTTTTTTTACAATTTGAATTATTACACACAGATTTTTCTATTAAACGAATCTTTGATATTAATCCCTGAAATTGAAAATAGAAAAACAATAATAAGATATTTATTTAGACTCAATACAAAAGACGACTGATTATTCTATCTGAAAATTTTCCAAACAATTCTTCTCGTAGGCCCCCGAATCAAGGGGAAAAGAAGATGGGGAGGTTGGCCAATGCGATTATTAACCGTACGAACGTGTAATTTCGAGGTAAATACACGTCTGGTGCAGGGTATAAAGGGTTCGTTCTTTTGGGCTTTCGTGCACAATCTCTCGTTTTTCACTTCTCTTCTTAGCCAAGCTCGAGTCATGAACCAGGTTTGTACAGCGTTAATTTTCTCCCCGCGGAGGGTTGCTAACAATGAGCAGAAACTCATGTATCTTCTCCTCCTATTCTAAATTCCTATCTCGCAAATCTCACCCCGCGCCACTTTATACGCAACCCCTTGCAAAAACAATCGAACTACGTCTTCATCTTCCGCCTTCTTCTTTTCTACGCTGTTCCCTCCACGGTTCAACCCTCGAGGGATCATTTTCGATGCTTGGAAAATACATTTATGATCTTAGATTTTTATTTAGACTCTTATCGAAGCCGTTGAAAATATTACATTTTGATTCTTTCTGGGCTATTTGATTTGATTGTTTTTAACACATGATAAATGATAAAGAAATCGAATCCATAAGAAATAAAAATTGATTAGGAAAAATTAATTTTCTGATCCTTCATAATTATTTCAAATCAGTTCAAATACTTCGATATAATTTTATACGTAGAATATTGATAAATTGGATGATAATCAAGTAACACAATATCAATCATGTATAATCAAAATTGCTCTAAAATGTTGCCCAAAAAAGATCAAAAGGATTAAAAATTCTTGAATGGATCTGGTTTACTCGTGGCATGCACGTCGTCGAGTCTTAGGGGGTTGCAACCGTCCGTAACGATATTACGGCTCCTCGTCGTCTGGCGACGCTTTCCGTCGGATCGATGGGAAAGACGCCTCGTCTGGGCTCGAAAATACGAGCTATCGACTCGTAGAGGTCTTACGGTCGACCAATGAGAGCTTCATCGCCATTGAAAAATACTCGACTTCCTCGTAAAAAAAGGATCGAGGATCGAGGCTCGATTTTATACTCGCAACTATGATTTCTAGTTTTTATTTATCAAACGTTTTCAGCATTGAGTATTGGCTATTGAGAATTACAGATTTAAAAAATTTTTGAAATTATAAATTTAAAAGAATTAGTATATACATAACATAATATGCGTTTTATAAATCTAATTCTTGTTTCAGCCAATAGTGATCAATTTTATTTATTTCATTAAATTATAACTGTTTGTGAAAAATTTAGAATAGCAAATTTATATAAATTTTCTAATTTCTGATTCTTAAAAAAGAATTTCATATAAATATATATGATTTGATTTAGTTTCTTTCTAAGAAATAAATTTAGAACAAATTCTGTATGGATCTATGTGAAGTTTTTTCTTTTTTTTATTTTAATTTAAAAGAATTTAACATTTTGTGAAAATTATCTTGAGAAATTCTTTCCTCATGAATCGAATTATTTTCAATCAAAAGAGACGTATGATAAAATTGTAAAACTAAATTCTATTTCAACTTTTCATCTGTGTCACATTTTTAAATATAAATTTCAAATTCGTAAAAGGGTATAAATTCCAGTTCCCAAACAATACCAAAACTATTTCCTCCGATTAAACTCGAGAATATTAGGTATATAGTCCTCTTAGATCTGTTATTTTAGCCTTCAGCGTGTTAATAAACTAGTCCTGCTATTGATTCAGTGTTTCCACGGTAACGTGGGGTTATCATCCCTTGGAAAGGAAATTCTAGATTCCCCCGTCTCGAGTTTACGCTAACCCGTAGAACGCATTCTCCAAGAGATAAATATAAGTTTTCCTCTCGGGTAATTAAAGGATCAAACTGTTCTGTTTCTTCAAATTGTTTTCTTTGAAACCACTTCCGATATCTTTGATTATTTTTATTTAATTTTTTCATTTATATGCTTTACACATGGTTGAAATGTGTAAAATCATTTGGAATTTAATAATTTGATGTATCGTTGAATAATATTTTTTGCAAATAAATATTTTGAAAAAAATAATATTTTTTACAAATATAATTTTAATATAATTTATAAAATAACTTGAGTAATATTTTATCAGTTTTTTATGAAAAATTTTATTACAAATTTTAAACTATATTTCACATCTGTTTCGAATTCTTTTATAAAGATTTAGAATTAAAAAAAGAACTCATAATATTAATGTTAAATTTTGGAAAAGTTACATCAAAAATACAATCTATAATTGATATGAAAAATAAACGAAAGAATTACTAATAACAATCAATGAAATTTTATTTATAATGATTTTTTTAATTGAATTTGTCGAATTAAAATTTGATAGATATCATTTTTAATAAAACTGTCTAATATTAATAAATAATAACAAGTTGTCAGAGACTCGTAAACAAAACGAATAATATGGATTATCTACTTTTCCGATTGCCGATTATATTGAAAACTCCAATTATCATCAGAGGTAACAGTACCTTTCGAACGATATTTCAATTTCCCCAGTCGAGCTTGCGAGCTGACACGCGTGATTAAGCAAAATTATACAGGCATCCGCATTTAATAATCCGGTATCGTCCGTGTAAAATTAGCCCGATAATTGGCAACGACCTCGACGATGGACCGTGATCGTTCGATAATTTCCCTCGATCTTCCGTAGGCATGTCCAACGAATCTAGATTATCGACTGATAATTGATGCTGATCATTTTCATTTCGCATTTAACGAACATGATACAACTTTTGATAGAAATCAAAGAAAATTTTAATGTATCTTTCTTGTTTCTCTCGAAACGTTTAATTAATTGTTTCGTTACCGATCATTTGACGTGTATATGCTATATGATGAATTATTTTTCTTTCCTAGCATGATTAACGTGGGATTTAACATCATATAATGATTTTTATCAAATAATTTCTTATTATCTACCAATTTTTTAAATTTTTTCGCATAAATGAAAGATTATTTCTTCCAATCTAACTTTTTCAAAACTTCTATTGATACTAATACCAACAATTTTTCGTACACCATTCTAAATTTTAAATCTCGATTCCGATATTGAAGCATTGTTCCTTATAACGCAACAATTTACTTTTTTTCTTTCTATAACAATTAATAAAACACCCACCAAGTTGTATTTAACGTTATAAAAAATATCATTCAACAGTACGTTCAGTCACTAAATAAATTCCAAAATTATTTACATTGCATTTATGGAATCGAATTATTTCATGCATACAAAAAACAAATTCCTAAATTTTTTCCTGGAAATTAATTACATCGCGAGAAAATTTTTAAAACAAATTTACAACAAGAGGTTAACATTATCGATTCTCATAATCGATAATAATAATAATAAAAAAAAAAAAATTAACTCTCTACCAAGTCGACTTATTGAAAATTAGTTCATACTTTTTTTTTTTAATTTTTTCAGGGAAAGTCAATAAATTATCCTGTTTCTTTCGTTCGTTCGTTTTTTCTCTCTCCTCTCAGAAACGAAGGGAGATACAGAAGGATCAACGCGATAGAAGAAACAGGATAAGTATTAATTACCGGCGTGGCGAGGAATAATTTAAGAAGGCTTCCAGGATTAATTTTGCTCTTCGAAACAGCTTCTCGAATTAAACTCTTCCCATCTCTTTTCACCCCTCTCGAGGATCCGACTTCTCTCTTTCAGATTTCCTTTATTCACTGGCATCTCTCTCTCTACATTTTCCTTCGGTTGTTTATCTTCAATTTTCCCGCGCGACTTATTGTTTCTCTTCGTTCTTCTTTATCCCCTCTCTCTCTCTCTCTCT